TAACAGAAGACTTGGTCGAGCTAGATTTCACCACGGGTAGAAAGAGAAGTCAGAGAACTCAGAGGGTACAAGTAGAACCTGAGGTGTTGTTACTGAAACCATGGATGTACCAGAGGGGAATGGAAACCCTTTGGGCTTTGGGTAATGGACTCGGTCGAGCTAGGCAAACTCGACCGATTGGTCTAGGAGATGCTCCAAACCGCCATCAACAGAGACAAGGGATTGTTCCACCACCAGTGCAGAACCACAACTTTGAGATCAAGCTGGGAATGATCAACCTTGTTCAGAACAAGATGTTCCATGGATTGCCAAGTGAAGACCCCATTGACCACCTTGATGAGTTTGATAGGCTTTGCGATTTGACAAAGATCAATGGTGTCTCTGAAGATGCCATCAAGCTGAGACTCTTTCCTATGTCTCTAGCTGACAAAGCTCACCAATGGGAGAAGAGCTTGCCCCATGGCACAATCACCACTTGGGATGAATGCAAGAAGGCCTTTCTTGCTAAGTTTTTCTCCACCGGTCGCACAGCCAAGCTTAGGAGCGAGATATCGAGCTTCATACAGAGAAACAATGAGACTTTGCTGAGGCTTGGGAGAGATTCAAAGGCTACACAAGCCAGTGCCCACACCATGGATTCAACAATGAATCACTACTCTCTACTCTTTATAGAGGTTGCTTGGCAAGGTATAGAGAGATGTTGGACACAGCCAGCAATGGAATTTCCTCAATCAGGATGTGGATGATGGCTGGCAGCTTGTGGAGAACATGGCCATATCAACTGAGTGCTATGGAGAGCATTATGAAGTACAGACTGGAGCTCGACCGCGCACTCGATCGAGCTGGAAGCACATATGAGAAAAGACATGCTTGCACTCAACTCGAAGTTGGACAAATTGATCCTAGCCCAATTCCCTGCCAAGCATGTCAATTATGTCTCTGGCAAAGCTCTAGTTAAAGACCAGGAAGGGGAGGAGAACCACATGAGGTTTGCTATATTCAAAATAGACAAGGAGGCTATAGGAAATCCTCAGCAAGGATATAAACAGCTATGGACAACAAGGGACATACTCCACCTATCCAACACTTGCGCAACAACAAGTGTACCACCAGGCTTCACCCAATGGCCTAACCATACCCAACCAAGCCAAGATTGGGATATGAAGGATATGCTCCAACAACTCCTACAAGGGCAAGCCAAAGGTTCACTGGAAATGAACCACAAGTTGGTAGAAATAAACTCCAAACTTGAGTCATTGACTTCAAGAGTCAAATCATTGAGTCTTCTAGTGCATCATCCTCTTCACCTCAAGAGTATGCCCAAGCAGTTACACTGAGAAGCGGCAATTTCCAAGCAGGAGTAGCCCACCCCAAATCGCTGTGGACATCGATGACGAGGAAGGGGAGGATTTGGTCGAGTATGCTGATATTCCGGCACCGAACTCGATCGAGCTGGAACAAAACCCTGAACCAGAGCTCGATCGAGCTGAAGAAACCGAGACTCAGCAAGACAAACCAGAGCTCGATCGAGCCAAGAGCAAACGACAAAGCAAGCTCCAGCCAACCAACTAAACCTGTTGAAAGAAGAAAGACACTCCATCAGGACCACCACCATACAAACCCCTCTACCCTTTCCAGGAAGGTTCAAGAAACAACTGTTGGAAGCACACAAGGCCAAGTTTGATGAACTAATGAGACAACTTGAGCTGAAGTTGCCTTTCATCGACGCCTTGATGCTCATTCCACCTTATCAAAATTCCTGAAGGATGCTGTTCAGCAAAGAACCAGGGAGGCGCAAGGAATGGTAGTGTTGACTCGTGAGTGCAGTGCAATCATTCAGCGGAAGGTCATCTCCGACAAAAAGGAAGATCCGGGGAGTTTCACTTTGCCTGCATGTTGGGACCTCTATCTTTCAAAAACAGCCTCTGCGACCTAGGATCATCAGTCAGCCTCATGCCTTTGTCCGTAGCAAAGAGACTGGGATATCACAAGTATCAAGCCTGCGGAATCTCACTAGTCTTGGCAGATAGATCGATAAGGTTACCAACTGGAATGCTTGAAGACCTGCCTTTGAGAATAGGGAATGTAGAAATCCCCACCGACTTCATTGTGCTGGAGATGGATGAGGAACCAACAGATCCATTGATACTAGGAAGGCCATTCCTAGCTACAGCAAGAGCAATGATAGATGTCTGTGAAGGCACAATTGAGCTAAACTTGGGAAAGGACCTAAGGATGAAGTTTGACATCAAGGATACAATGAGGAAGCCAACAATAGAAGGTCAACTCTTTTATGTTGAGGAGATGGATCAGTTGGCAGATGAGCTTTTAGAAGAGCTATCATTGGAGGACCCCCTACAAGTTGCTTTGACCAAGGATTCTTCAGAAGGATATGTGAGCTCAGAAACCGAGGAATATTCGAAGCTCCTTGACACCTTCAGACCAGTTCCAAGCATTCTGAGCATTGAGGGGTTAGACAGGCCAATTTGCGAAGTCATGGCAGTGAGCTCGATCAAGAGCTCGATCGAGCCTCGAACAAACGAACTCGATCGAGCTGGGGACTGAATGCAAGGAGCAAGCTCAAGGAGATTGGTCTGAGCTCAAGGCGCCTAAGGTCGACCTCAAACCTTTGCCTGAGGGCCTCAGGTATGCATTTCTGGGTGAAAACTCAACTTACCCTGTCATTGTGAACTCTGATTTGGAACCTGAACAGTTGAGTGCTTTGCTTGTTGAATTGAGGAAAGTACAGAAAAGCAATAGGTTACACTCTAGATGATATCAAGGGAATCTCCCCTGACCTATGCATCCATAGGATTCATCTAGAGGATGAAAGTAAGTCTAGCATTGAACCTCAAAGGAGATTGAACCCCAATCTAAAGGAAGTAGTGAAGAAAGAGATACTCAAGTTGCTTGATGCTGGGATAATCTATCCCATCAGTGATAGCACTTGGATATCTCCAGTTCATTGCGTCCCAAAGAAAGGGGGGATCACTGTCATAAAAAATGACAAAGAGGAGCTGATTCCCACTAGAACAATAGTGGGGCATCGCATGTGTATTGACTATAGGAAGTTAAATTCAGCATCTAGAAAGGATCATTTCCCTCTCCCTTTCATTGATCAGATGTTAGAAAGATTAGCAAACCATCCTTTTTATTGTTTTCTTGATGGTTACAGTGGTTTCTTCCAAATCCGATCCACCCCAATGATCAGGAGAAAACCACTTTCACATGCCCTTATGGTACCTTTGCTTATCGAAGGATGCCATTTGGGCTGTGCAATGCCCCAGCTACTTTCCAGAGATGCATTGTAATATCCCGCATCAGAGCGGAATTTTAGTCGCACGATCCCAATCCCAATGGTCCGGATGGGATGAACAACTCTGAAGACGAAGAGAAGATAAAGCTGTTTCAAGAACGGTATGGTCGGGATAAGGAATTTCCGGACATTTCCGAGTAGCTAAGTGAAAGCTCAAAAGCATGGAACTGACGAAAGGATTAAAATAGAAAATTTTAATTCTCAAGCACGACGGGGACGAAACCCTCTGGAAGAGGAAACATAAAAAACCCTCCTCAAAAGGCAAAAGGTGGGTGGAGCAATGGGATGACAACACCAGCTACTTGGAGATGATAAGAATGGTCTAAACCAGTAAGGGGCGACACCAACAGCTACATAGGACGAAATTATGCTGGACCAATCAAGTGTGAGCACTCAGCTACTCATAAGGGACGAAAATGTGTTGGACGAATCATGTCCAAGCACCCAACAGCTTGAGGAAGGAGCCAATGGGATGGAGCCACTCGTTCCAGGAAGATAGGATCAAGGAAGTGATGATCATCTTCAATGGACCAATCAGGTTCAGCTACCTAGCAGCTTGGAAAATGGACCAATGGAAAAGTGCCATTCAAGCTAAGTGGATAATGATGGATGGAGTTGCTGTAGGCGTGCCTCAACACCATTAGTCCACACAGGGGAAGAGGTGGCGCCATTCTTATGAGGAGATCACTCACCTGCTTCACTTCCCAGCCTATAAATAGGACCCTTGGCCTCATTTGCAAACCACACCAAAAATCAGAAAGAAAGAGAGAGAAAGTAGAGAGAGAAATAGAGTGAGAGGGAGGACGCCCAGAAGAAGAAGAAAGAGGAGGAGGAGGAGAAGAAGAAGAAAGAGAAGAAAAAGAAGAAGAAGAGAGGGAGCGTTCGGGCAGAAGCTTATGGCAAGCTGACGGTTCAGCGGTAAACCCGGAGTAGTAAACCTAGGCTAGAAACCGTTCAGCCGAAAGCACTGTGAGTTGTGGTGATGTTTGATTGCTTGTTAGGGAATGTTAGATTGCTTGATATATTGATAGCTTGATTGTGAGTTGTGGTGATGTTTGATTGCTTGTTAGGGAATGTTAGATTGCTTGATATATTGATAGTTTGATTGTGAGTTGTGGTGATGTTTGATTGCTTGCTAGGAAATGCTAGATTGCGTGATTGATTGATTTCTTTGATTGCTTGATGTTATTATTTGATTGATTGGTTTGACTGTGTGGTTCTTTGTTATGATGCTTGTTTGTTAGATCTTGTTTATTGTTATCATATTGCATGTGAGGTTACATGGTTACTTGTTTGATGTTGATGTTGGCGGTTCGGTCTTCTTTTGTACCCCTTCCTAGCAAATGGACTGGCTAGGTGGGAAGACTCGGAGAGACGGCATAGCAGCCTATGGTCGAGTACTATTCCACCTCATGTAGTTAGTGTAATGGCTAATGAGAATACTCAGAGAGACGGGGTTGCTGCCTATGGCCGAGTATGGAATAGACAGCCCGGGATGTGACCATCTGGGAGACAGAACTCGTTTGGGTTGTGAACCGTGGAAATGGCGATCCAACGGGATGTGGCTGCCTGGGAGATGGAACTCGGGTAGTGATGTTTTATCTCGCGTGCCTGTGTGCCTGTGAGATAGGTGTTCGCGGGAAGTACCGAACACGCGAAAGAGGAAGTGGTTGAGTGTGATGTTAAGTTTATTTATTGCATGTTTAAGCATTGATTGATTGTTGTTGTTTATAATCTCTGATTGATCGTGCATCTTCTTGTTTGATTGTTGTGCGGTCAGTCTAGGAGTTATAGCAACATTGCTTGTTCTGTGTTATTTTGGGTTTTTGGGTGGGTTTATTATTGCCTGTTAGTGGGAGCTACAACTCACTGAGCGATTAGCGCTCACCCTCCACTCTTCTTTTGCAGGAAACCAGTAGTTGGAGCAAGGACGTTAGGCCGCCAGCGTAGTTTGTCTTGCCTTTGTAAATTAAACGCTTTTGAATTTATGTAGTGTGGGTTTTGGGCATTAGGCTCGAACGTAATGTATTTCTGATGTTTTGAGAAACCATATATAGATTAATAAAGTTTATTTTCTATATCAACTGGTTTCATCTGATATTAGCTTTGTCCGGGCTAACACAACTCTCGGCTTTGGTACGGGTTGAAAAGCCTTCGGCCGTGGCCGAGAGGGTCGAGCTCGCGGGACGGGCTGACCTGGGCTGTGTTGTGTTCTTCGCCCGGGATGGCCTATCCAGCAAACCTCGGTAAATTGTGACGCTCACCGGCTTTGTCTATGTGTAGATCGAGTCGGGGGTGTTACATGCACGACTTCCATTTTTTCAGATCTGATAGAGGAGATGGTAGAAGTCTTCATGGACGATTTCTCAGTCTATGGAGCATCCTTCTCCTCATGTTTGTCTAACTTGTGCAGGGTGTTGCAGAGGTGTGAGGAGACAATCTAGTACTCAACTGGGAGAAGTGCCACTTCATGGTTCAAGAAGGGATTGTGCTTGGACACAAGATTTCCGAGAAAGGGATCGAGCTCGATCGAGCTAAGGTGGATGTCATGTTGCAGCTCCCTGTTCCCAAGACTGTGAAGGATATCAGGAGTTTTCTGGGTCATGCAGGGTTCTACAGAAGATTCATCAAGGATTTCTCAAAGATAGCAAGACCCTTGACAAGGCTTCTGTGCAAGGAGACAGATTTTGAGTTTGATGAAGAATGCCACAAGTCTTGGACCTTGCTGAAGGATGCTCTGGTATCTGCCCAATAGTTCAAGCTCCAAACTGGGATCACCCATTTGAGATTATGTGTGATGCATCTGACTATGCAGTAGGAGCAGTGCTTGGCCAAAAGATAGACAAGAAACTCAATGTCATCTACTATGCAAGCAAGACTATGGATGATGCTCAATGCAAGTATGCAACCACAGAGAAGGAGCTCCTTGCCATAGTCTTTGCCTTTGAGAAGTTTCGAAGCTATATAGTTGGATCCAAGGTGATTGTGCACACTGACCATGCTGCCCTTAGGCACATCTTTGCTAAGAAAGATACAAAGCCAAGACTTCTCAGATGGATCCTTTTGCTTCAAGAGTTTGACATAGAAGTTGTGGACAAAAAGGGAGTGGAGAATGGAGTTGCTGATCACCTCTCTAGGATGCGAGTTGAAGACATAGTCCCCATCAATGATTCTATGCCTGAAGAACAGCTTATGGCAATCATGATCTTGAAAGGAGAGTTTTGATGAGAAAGTCAGGCTGGAAGAAGTTAAGGCTCTGCGTGATGAGAATTTGCCATGGTATGCTGATATAGTGAACTTCATGGTGCTGGAGAAGTCCCTAGTTTTGATGCTTACAAGAGGAAGAAGTTCTTCAAGGATGCTAGGCACTACTATGGGATGAGCCTTACTATACAAGAGAGGACCAGATAGCATTTACAGAAGATGCATAGCTGAAGAAGATGTACAAGGAGTTCTAGAGCATTGCCATGGGTCTGCTTATGGAGGTCACTTTGCTACATTCAAAACGCAACTAAGGTTTTGCAATCTGGTTTATGGTGGCCTACTTTGTTCAAGGATGCAGCAAGCTTACATCCAAGTGTGATCCATGCCAAAGGAAAGGAGGGAATCACCAAGAGAGATGAAATGCCACTAAACCCAATTCTGAGTTGAGATCTTTGATGTATGGGGAATAGACTTCATGGGACCTTTCAAAGCCCCTCAAACGGGCACAACTACATTTTGGTGCTGTGGACTATGTGTCCAAATGGATTGAAGCCATTCCCTGCCCAGCCTGTGATGCCAAGGTTGTTATCAAACTGTTCAGAACCATCATCTTTCCAAGATATGGCATCCCAAGGGTTGTTATTTCGGATGGAGGTTCCCATTTCATCAACAAGGTGTTTGAGAAGTTGATGAAGAGTTATGGAGTCAAGCACAAGGTGCCACGCCCTACCACCCTCAAACCAGTGGGCAAGTTGAGGTCTCCAACAGACAGAAAGGCCATATTGAGAAGACTGTGAGCTTCACTAGGAAGGATTGGTCACAAGGCTTGATGAAGCACTTTGGGCTTATAGAACAGCTTACAAAACCCCCATTGGAAGGTCTCCTTTCAACTTTGTATGGAAAGGATTGCCACTTACCTGTGGAGGTCGAATACAAGGCTATGGGCAGTAAAGATGCTGAACTTTGATATAAAGGCAGCACAAGAAAGGAGAGTAATGAACTTGTTTGAGTTGGAGGAAATCAGAATGAATGCCTATGAGAACTCCATGATCTATAACAAGATGAGAACCAAGGCAGCCCACGACAAACTGATTCGCCTTAAGACTTCAAGGTTGGGGACAGTGTGCTCTTGTTTAACTCCAAGCTAAGGTTGTTTCCCGGGAAGCTAAGGATCAAAGTGGTCGGGACCATTCAAGATCACGAAGTTCTACCTATGGATCCCTCACTCTACTCAACCAAGAAGGAAAGGAATTCACAGTGAACGGCATAGGTGCAAACCTACCTAGGAATGACTGATGATAGGATTTGTGTGTGATGTGAGATATGTAAATGTAAATGAGGTGGAATGCAACAGTGGTATATGAAGATGAGGTGGTATGGTGCAAAACACAATCACAATCAATCAATTCCCCTTAACCATCATAGTCATTGAAGTATAAGGGGTATCAATCCATAAGGGTGAAATTGTTACTCTATGAGGATATGCAATCACAAGAAAGTCAAGCCAAATGATTAAGATGAGGTAACTCTAACAACCTCTGAAATAGAAATGCAAATGCAGAAAGTAAAGAAAGCAGTAAAGCAAGCAGCTCGACCAAGGACTCGAGTCGAGTGGGAACAGAGTAACCAAGCTCGATCGAGTTGAGGGTCGAGTTAGCGTAAAAAGCGATAAAGGCAGGAACTTTAACAAGCTAATGCGAATATTAGGGTCTAAGACAGGGTCTTACAATCAGGGAAGGCTATACTTAATCAATCTTGCTCTTAAACAACTTGTATCAAGGTATCTCTTGATATTGAGCTTCTCAATGCCTAGCTAGCCCTTTCCCAAGGTGAAAGCTATCAACCAAGGCATGATCTCAGAAACAGGGGGTTAGCCAGTGAGAATCAAGCCTTGGAGGCCATAGGATCATTGCTCAAACTAATCCATCCAACCCCTATGAACTCCATTTCGAGAGCAAGGTTTATTGGAGCTCTTAGTGGACCTTTTCCAACGATTTCCATCACTTCCATGTGGAGAATCGCCTATGGACATACAAGCCAGGGATAGTGGTCATGTAGCCTTAAGGTTTGTCCAAAAGAGAGAGATTTCTAGATTAAGAACATAAGCAAGAAGGATTAAGCATAAGACCCCTAATCTAGCCCATCTCAAACCCTAAAGGAAACTACTCACTACACATGAATGAAACTCAATCAAATGCAATGAAAAGACATAAAGAAAGAGGAGATAAAGATGAACAACTTTTATTGAAATAGCAAAGTGCAAATACAAAGCAAATAAACCAAGATCTAGGGTTCTATGACCAATGAAGCTCAAGAACACAAAGAGAGGTTTAGGGTTGCTAAAAGTAAAAGCCAATAAAACAAAAAAGCTAAAATTAAAGATAAGCTAAAGATTGTTGTCTTTTTCGTGGCTAGAGCCTTTAAATAGAAAGGAGGATTAGGTTTAGGGTCAAAGGGAAGTTGATGTACTTGCATTTTACATAGTTTTAGTACATCTTTTATGCATCTTTTGCATAGTTTTAGCATCCATTAGCATCATATCTTGTTCCTTTTCTCTTCTTATGCATTCATAGTAGTTTTAGGTTGCATTTGCATACATATGCATGTTTGGTCCTTTGAAATAGGTCTTTTGGAGCATTCTGGAGCATATGGGACGTGAGGAGCATGGAGGACTTGGCATGGACGCAGCTCAACTGGATACGCAAAGGAAGAAGGAGGAAGCCATCTTGAAGACCAGCTCGACCACCTACTCGACCAACCGGTCGAGTTCCTCAACTCGACCGGCCAAGCTTCAACTCGATCGAGCTGAGAAGTCAAAGTCAAACCCGAAAAATGTTGCTTCCCCCTTGACTTCCTTTGACCCTAAACCTAATCCTCTTTGTATTTAAAGGCTAAAAGCCACGAAAAAACCACCAAGCTTTAGATTTTTTGTTTTAGCTTTCTTTTAATTTATTGTCTTTTACTTTTTAGAAGCTCTAATCCCATCTTTGTGTTCTTGAAGCTCTTGCTTCTTGAATCCTAGATCCTGGATAATCTCTTTGTATTTGCACTTGCTTATTTCAATAAAAGTTGTTTATCTTTATCTCCTCTTTCTTATGATGTTCTTTTATTGCATTTGCTTGTGTTTACATTCATGTGTAGTGAGTAGTTACCCATTAGGGTTTGAGATGGGATAGATTAGGGTTTCATATGCTTAATCCTTCTTGCTTATGGTCTTAATCTAGATTCTCTCTCTTTTGGATAATCTTAAGGCTACATGACCACTACCCCTGGCTTGTATGTCATTAGGCGATTCTCCACATGGAAGTGATGGAAATCGCTGGAAAATATCCACTAAGAGCTCCAAACTCTTGCTCTAGAAATGGAGTTCTAAGGGGTTGGATGGATTAGTTTGGGCAATGATCCTATGGCCTCCAAGGTTTGATTCTCACTGGCTAACCCCCTGTTTCTGAGATCATTCCTTGGTTGATAGCTTTCACCTTGGGAAAGGGTTAGCTAGGCATTGAGAAGCCCAATATCAAGAGAAGCCTTGATACAAGGAGTTTTAAGAGCAAGATGATTAAGTGTAGCTTCCCTGATTGCAAAACCCTGTCTTGAACCCTAATTCTCGCATTAGCTTGTTAAAGTCGTCACCTTTATTGCTTTTTCAACTCCCTAAACTCGATCGAGCTGGTACTCTGTTCCAACTCGACTCGAGTCCTTGGTCGAGCTGCTTTGCTTTTACTGTTTCATTTAGGTTGTTAGTGTTACTTATCTTTACTGCTTGCTTGACTTCCTGGTTGTTTCATATTCTCATAGAGTGACAATTTCCCATTTTGGATTGATAACCCTTATACTATAATGACTATGATGGTTAAAGGGAATTGTTGACTGTGTTTGTGTTTGCATCTTACCACCTCATCATATACCACTGTTGCATTCCACCACATCTCATTTCATATCTTTCACATCCACACACAAATCCTATCATCAATTTGGCGCCGTTGCCGATTTGGATTATTTGGCATTTGAGTTGTTGCATTTGAGTTTCAATACACTTGGACGATCAAGCTATACCACCCCTGTTCTATTGTACTGCTGGGTTTTTGTCTCTTTTTGCAGGTGTATGCGAACTCGATCGAGTCGGTCTACAGAAGACTTGGTCGAGCTAGACTTTACAACGGGTAGAAAGAGGGTTCAGAGGTCACAGAGGGTACAAGAGGAACCTGAGGTGCTTGTTGCTGATACAATGGATGTACCAGAGGGGAATGGAAACCCTTTGGGCAATGGACTCGGTCGAGCTAGGCAAACTCGACCGATTGGTCAAGGAGATGCTCCAAACCGCCACCAACAGAGACAAGGGATTGTTCCACCACCAGTGCAGAACCACAACTTTGAGATCAAGCTGGGAATGATCAACCTTGTCCAGAACAAGATGTTCCATGGATTGCCAAGTGAAGACCCCATTGACCACCTTGATGAGTTTGATAGGCTTTGTGATTTGACAAAGATCAATGGTGTCTCTGAAGATGCCATCAAGCTGAGACTCTTTCCTATGTCTCTAGCTGACAAAGCTCACCAATGGGAGAAGAGCTTGCCCCATGGCACAATCACCACTTGGGATGAATGCAAGAAGGCCTTTCTTGCTAAGTTTTTCTCCACCGGTCGCACAGCCAAGCTTAGAGGAGAGATATAGCTTCATCCAGCGAAACAATGAGACATTCGCAGAGGCTTGGGAGAGGTTCAAAGGCTACACAAGTCAGTGCCCACACCATGGATTCAACAATGAATCACTACTCTCCACTCTTTATAGAGGATGCTTGCCTAGGTATAGGGAGATGCTAGACACAGCTAGCAATGGGAACTTCCTCAACCAGGATGTAGATGATGGCTGGCAACTTGTGGAGAACATAGCTAACTCAAATGGAAGCTATGGAGAAGAGTATGATCGCACCAACCGGAGCTCGACCCACCACTCGATCGAGTCATGACGAAAAGTTGAGAAAAGATGTTAAGGCATTGAATGAGAAGTTGGATAAGCTGATCTAGCTCAGTCCACAATGAAGAAAGTCAACTTTGTGTCTGCTGAGGAGATGGAACCAGTCCAAGAAGGGGAGGATACACAATTTGCTGAGGTGTGCTACATGAGCAATGGGCAAGGAGGTTACAACAAAGGATACTATAATTACAAGTCCAACCCTGCCATGTCATACCGCAACACTGATGTTGCTAACCCTCAGGACCAAGTCTATCCTCAACAACAAGCAGCTCGATCGAGTCAAGCCACAACATGGGTATGGTCAAAAGAACAATTACCAAGGACCACAAGGCACTTTCCCTGGACAACAAATGAATATCCCACCAGGCTTTCCCCACCAACCCCCAGCCTGCACCTTCACAAGAGAATGAGCTCAAGGCAATGCTAAAGCAACTACTTCAAGGGCAAGCTGATGGGGTAGTGGACACAAGCAAGAAGCTAGCTGAAATAAACTCCAAGATCGAGAATCTCAACACAAGGGTTTACTCTCTGGAGAATCATGCTTCTTCTGTTGCTGCTGCTACAAAGCAAGGACAACTACCTGGTAAAGCTATTCAGAACCCCAAGGAACAGTGCAAGGTCATCTTCACTCAAGAAGGACTTGTTGAAGAAGAGGATCAAGAAAGAGGTCATTGAAGATTTTTGTTTACTGCTGAATGATGATGAGATTGTTGCTGCTGAGGCTCCTGGAGTCCAGATTGATCAACCAGAAGTGCAGGCACCTACTGTGGCCATTCACACTTCACCAGTTGAGCTCGCACGACAAGCTCGATCGAGTCGAACTCTAGCTCGATCGAGTCCGACCTTCTGTCCCAAGCCGTTTTGCTTGATCCTTACCAACCGGTTGCTTCCTCGTCTCGCCTACTTAGTCAAGGTCACAAGGAAGTGATTCACAAGTTCAGAAGAGATCTCAGTGGGATTGGAATTGAGTTGCCTCCTATGGATAGCATGAGTGAGGCATTTGATCAAATGCAAATGGTCAAGGATGTTCTAGCCAACAGTGATAAAGTTTCAGAGGTCCTGAAGAGTCTACTCATCAGTTCAACCTGCTTACTTCACCCACTTTCCTACCAAAGGTAAGGATCAAGGGAAATTCACTCTCCCTTGCACACTTGGGCATCTTGAGCTTGACAATGCCTTAGTGGATTCTGGAGCAAGCATCAATCTGATCTCTCTCTCCATGGCAGAGAAGCTAGGCATGCTGGAGCCTTGCAGCGCCCTACTACTTCAATCATGTTTGGAGATGCAACTTCTAAGTCTCCTCTTGGAGTGTTCAAGAACTATCACTTGAAAATTGGAGAATGCATCATCCAAACTGATCTCACTGTGATGGAAATGGAAGAAGAGAAGGATCTACCTCTGTTATTGGGAACCCCATTCCTTAGTACAGTTGGCGCTTCAATAGACTTTCACAAGCAAGAAGTGATCCTTCACAAGGTGAATAGTTTGGTGTCATATCGCTTGCAGCCTAGAGGTTCAGACTTTTGTGCCACAATTGACAGTACCACCTCTCAGTTCTAAGAGTCATGGAGCTACAAAGGTTGTGAAGGAAAGGTTGACAAAGAACCAAGAGTTGGGAAGGATAAGGATGAGAGAGGACCAAGGATTGAGAAGCCACGTCTTGAGAGGGCTAGAGTTGAGAAACCACGTTCTGAGGCCACGAGCTGATAGACTTGTTCAAGCCCCTTGTGTGCTTGATGAAGAAAGCCTTCAAGCTTTGTTTGATGAGCCACTAGGAAGGGCTCTAAAAGAAGGGGAGGATGTAGCCTCTAAGGCAAGACCAGGAGATAAAAGAAAGGATCCACCAGCTCAGGCCCCTTCAGTCAAGCCATCTCAGCTCACAATGACCTTGTTCCCCACCAAGTTTGAAAATGGGAAGATTGAGTACAAGATAAGGTACAAGGGGAGATCAAGGCCATTCTCTAGAGCCAAGGCCTTGGTGACTTCAGAACAGTCCAGGGACCCAACCAAGCTAAAGGAGCTTCTGTCTCAAGTCCTCACTATCACCCTTGATGGTGGGATGATGTACTTGCATTTTGCATAGTTTTAGTACATCTTTTATGCATCTTTTGCATAGTTTTAGCATCCATTAGCATCATATCTTGTTCCTTTTCTCTTCTTATGCATTCATAGTAGTTTTAGGTTGCATTTGCATACATATGCATGTTTGGTCCTTTGAAATAGGTCTTTTTTTGGAGCATGGAAGGACTTGGTGCATGGACGCAGCTCAACTGGATACGCAAAGGAAGAAGGAGGAAGCCATCTTGAAGACCAGCTCGACCATCTACTCGACCACCGGTCGAGTTCCTCAACTCGACCGGCCAAGCTTCAACTCGATCGAGCTGAGAAGTCAAAGTCAAACCCGAAAAATGTTGCTTCCCCCTTGACTTTCTTTGACCCTAAACCTAAATCCTCTTGTATTTAAAGGCTAAAAGCCACGAAAAAACCACCAAGCTTTAGATTACTTTTGTTTTAGCTTCTTTTTAATTATTGTTTTACTTTTTAGAGCTCTAATCCCATCTTTGTGTTCTTGAAGCTCTTGCTTCTTGAATCCTAGATCCTGGATAATCTCTTTTGTATTTGCACTTGCTTATTTCAATAAAAGTTGTTTATCTTTATCTCCTCTTTCATTTGATGTTATTTCAATGCATTTGGTTGTTTATTTCATCATGTGTAGTGAGTAGTTACCCATTAGGGTTTGAGATGGGCTAGATTAGGGGATCTTTATGCTTAATCCTTCTTGCTTATGTTCTTAATCTAGAAATCTCTCTCTTTTGGCAAACCTTAAGGCTACATGACCACTACCCCTGGCTTGTATGTCATAGGCGATTCTCCACATGGAAGTGATGGAAATCGTTGGAAAAGGTCCACTAAGAGCTCCAATAACTCTTGCTCTCGAAATGGAGTTCATAGGGGTTGGATGGATTAGTTTGAGCAATGATCCTATGGCCTCCAAGGCTTGATTCTCACTGGCTAACCCCCTGTTTCTGAGATCAAGTCTTGGTTGATAGCTTTCACCTTGGGAAAGGGTTAGCTAGGCATTGAGAAGCTCAATATCAAGAGATACCTTGATACAAGTTGTTTGAGAGCAAGATTGATTAAGTATAGCCTTCCTCTGATTGTAAACCCTGTCTTAGACCCTAATTCTCGCATTAGCTTGTTAAAGTCGCTGCCTTTATTGCTTTTTACTTCAACTCGACCCTAAACTCGATCGAGCTGGTACTCTGTTCCCACTCGACTCGAGTCCTTGGTCGAGCTGTTGCTCTACTGCTTTTTACTTACCTTCATATTCATTACTGCTTGCTTGACTTCCTTGTTATTTCATATTCTCATAGAGTGACAATTTCACCCATTTTGGATTGATACCCTTTATGCTACTAAATGACTATGATGGTTAAAGGGAATTGTTGACTGTGATTGTGTTTGCATCTTACCACCTCATCATATACCACTGTTGCATTCCACCACATTTCATTTCATATCTTTCACACCCACACACAAATCCTATCATCACATCGTCCAGAATGTCCACCACTCCCAGAACTATGTAACCAATCCAAAATTTTACCTCGTAGAAGAGGAGTATGAGGAACAACGATCTTGCTCTTTCGCCTTACGATATTTTGTGACCAAGAGTAGTGTTTTCTAGCTTGCGGTTTGAGCTTTAGTTCACCAATTAACTCTTGTAGCTCGATATCCGAATCATAACCAGCCTGAATCTGTTGAATAAAATCACACTCAAGAACAGACATAGCCATGTTGAGTATCTCTGCTCCTTCAACCCGCGATAAGGCATCAGCAACCAAATTTTCTTTCCCTTGTTTGTACTGAATTTCGTAATCAAATTCCAGCAGTTTAGGAAGCCATTGTTGTTGAATTGGAGTATTCAAGCGTTGCTCCAAAAGGTATTTTAAGCTTCTTTGATCTGTCTTGATCACAAAGTGGCTTGTAAGAAGGTAATGGCGCCACTTTTGAACAGCAAAGACAACAGCCAATAACTCTTTTTCATAGATGGAGAGAAACAGTTGCTTCCCTTTCAAGTGTCGACTGATGTAGGCCAAAGGGTGACCCTCCTGCATCAAAACCGCGCCAATTCCCTGACTGCACGCATCAGTTTCCACCACAAAAGGTTTGTCAAACCTTGGTAAAGCCAAAACAGGGGCGACACACAACGCCTCTTTCAGGCCCTCAAAATCAGTTTGAGCTTCAGGAGACCATGAGAAAGAGTCTTTCTTTGTCAAGGCTGTTAAGGGTCGTGCTATGGTTCCAAAGCTCCGAACAAAACGACGATAATAACCATCCAACCCCAGGAATCCACGGAGTTGTTAAGATCCTTGGGAACGGGCCATTCATTAACCGCCTTGACCTTGCTAGGGTCAGTGGAGATACCTTTTGCTTCAATGTAGTGACCTAAGTACTCGACCCATTTTGTAGCAAAGATACATTTGCTCTGCTTAGCAAATAAGTTGTTAGTTCTCATCAATTCAAACACACGGCAAAGGTGGCGCACGTGAGACTCCAGCGAAGAACTATAGACTAAGATGTCATCAAAAAATATGAGGACAAAATTGCGTAAGAAACTCTGAAAAACAAAGTTCATCAAGCCTTGAAACGTTGCAGGGGCATTAGTAAGCCCAAAGGGCATAACGAGATATTCATAATGGCCAGCATGAGTTTTGAAAGCTGTTTTATGAATATCGCCGGGGTCCATTCGCACTTGGTGATAGCCTGCTCTTAAATCGATCTTGGAGTAAATGACAGATCCACCCAATTCATCCATAAGGTCTTCGATTAACGGAATAGGGAACCGGTCTTTAACAGTCATGTTGTTGAGACCACGATAGTCGACACAAAGACGCCAAGAACCGTCTTTCTTCTTGACCAAAACCACCGGTGAAGCGTAAGAGCTAGAGCTTGCTTGAATTGTACCAGCGGTTAACATCTCTTGCACTATTTTATCGATCTCATTCTTCTGATGAATGGCGTAGCGATAAGGTCTTTGGTTGATAGGGTTGGAACCTTCGAGCAGGGGAATCTTGTGGTTATGGTCATGGCGAAAAGGTGGCAAGGTTGTTGGTTCCAGGAAGATATCATGGAATTCATCAAAAAGATGATGTATGTCAGAACAAAGAGGCTCTACAGTGGAGGAGGCGTCTAATGAATATAAAGAAACCTCGTCACCAGGACAATAATCTTGGACGTAGATCATTGCTAATTGGACATCTGTTTCACGAAGTTTATTGAGCTTGGCTGCCTTTATTTGACGAACTGAGCCTTCCTTGATACCGTGAAGTAAAACCTTGGCGTGACCATATTTAAATCCCATCTCCAGCTTCTGGAAATCCCACGTTATAGGGCCCAACGTGGCTAACCATTGAACACCCAAGACGATATCACAGCCACCAAGTGGAATAAACTCGGTTAGTAGACGTGGTACGGTTTTGTGACCAATTGGAGGTGTAAGGTTTCTTTGGATGAGCTTTTTCATACAGCCTTCCAAGAAGTAAACATTGACGAACCATACTTGGTTGGAACATACGGACATGCATTTGTGTATCGGTGCGGATCCCGGCTAGGTAGTGGCGAACCAAATAGTCTCCGAGAAGTTCACACGTGTACGTAGAAGTTCAAATCTGCCATGGTATTCAACAATACCATCTGTTTCTTGTAAGTTTTTCAGCTCTGCAACAGGGTCATCTAAAAGATCATCAAATCTTTCATATAAAAGAAGCTTATAGGACGACCAATCAAGGAGTGTTGACGGTTGCATGTCCGATTGAACGAGGGATTGATGCCAAGCCGAGGCAAGACCGTCGAAGTGGATGGAAGCGATGCCGACTCGTAAATCATCGGGTGTGTTGTCAATGGAGAAGAATTGTTCAACTTTGAACAGCCATTCTTTAAGTTTGTCACCGTTAAACCGAGGAAAGTCTAGCTTGGCAAGTCTGGTCATGCCGGAGTAGTTGTGCGGAGAAGAGTGGCGGCCACGATTAGGGTCATGAGGAATAGTTGGGGTTGGGAGTAACGGAGGGTTGTTTTTGGTGACGGAAGGTGGGGTGGAGGATGAATCGCGAGTTTCGGAGATTTTGCGAATAACAGCAAACATATCCGAGAGGTCTGTTTCCAACTTATTGAGTTTCTTGTCCATCCTAGCTTCTAGGTCTTGGTTATGTTGGAAAACTTCATCGAATCGTGGTCCGAAACTTGATTCGATGTCTTGAAGAAGAGCTTCCTTCATGGCGGTTTGGGCACGTGTTTGAGCTGATTCAGTCATGAGTTCCGAGAATTGAGAGACGACTGATACCTTTGGTAGAGGGAAACCGTGGGTTCCAAGTAACGATAGTAACACAGAATTGATGTTCCTAAAACACCTATTCCGAACTCACTTGCAAAGAATCTTCGAGAGATGAAGAGATTCTTAGCTGGTAATGAGCTAATGTGACAAGAAGAGAAAGGGAGAGAAGGTTTCTGAATTGTTCTGAATATCATTATGAAGATGGATTACAATTCTTTATATAAGAAAAATAAAACCGACTTAAGAAAAACCAACTAAAACGAAAAGGAAATTAGCCAATTATGTGGCTCTCTCTAATGTAAACTATCCTATATCAAAGAACGAGGATTTGTCGTCTCTTGTTATAGTCTCATGCTCGATTTGCCTCAAATTGGTGTTTGGCGACGGTACCAGATCCACAACTCAGCTCTAATGTGGTCACCAGTTCCATTTGGGTATTTCAATCAAACTTTCCTTCACTTGATTGTTTTCGCTCTTTGATAACTCAGTTGAGTTTTTTGTTTTCTGGGTAATTTAAATTAGTGTTCTTTTTGGATTTTCGTACTTGTGTGCTGTTTCTCTCTCTCTTAAGCTTCTTCGGTCTTGCTCTTGTGGGTTTTCTGTCGATTTCAAAATCGGAATTATGTACAAGAGACTGGTATATCTAGTTGCTTCTCTTCTATCTTAGCTGGATTATTGGAGATTTAGTTGTAAATTTTTTGATTTGGGAATCAATTTTGCTCTGTGATGGTTAAGATAGCAGAACTCAGGTACTCTTATTGATGAGAAACATGTTTTGTGTGCAGAAAACAATGAGTAGCTTAGTGGAGAGGCTTCAAATACGATCAGATAGGAAACCAGTTTATAACTTCTGATGATGATGACTTTCTTCCCAAAAAAGATCGGGCACTTGAGCAAGTCGAGGCTATTGTCAGAACCGACGCGGTTTGTAACATTTGTTCTCCTGAATGCGTAAGATTTCAAAATATTCAGTGTGTAGTTGTGTTTTAGGATGCCTTAGGTTCCATTAACTGAGAATTGTGTTTTACATTTTGCAGGTTAGTCCTCTTAATGAGATAGATAAGATATTGGACTGTGAAATGCGTCCTACAATACCTAGTGAAGAAGATTCCTCAGAAGCGGCACCAAAGCAAGTTTGTGTGAAACAGTATCTCGTGAAGTGGATGTCATATCTTCACTGCTCTTGGTAGTTACTTGTTTCCCTTCTGATTATATGTTTGGTCTTTTGTGCTTCTTGTCTGTGAACATAGTAACTATAATGGGCTACTCAAAGCAGTGATGAGACTTTATGTGGCCAACATGAAAGCAGCGGATGTTAAAGATGTTGCTTCGTCTGTTACATCAATATCAAATGAAGACAGGTACACACATTTCACTCTCTTTTACTTTTTGTTTCTTTGCTTGGATTTTGCTTCTATATAGACTTGTGGATTTAGTTGATTCCTGAAGGACTCTGTTGCTGAAATTATCAGATTCGTGATGGTATTTGCTTTGTTTAAACTGTGTTTTTGTTTTTAGGTAAGAAGAAACAACTGCATGTGGATAAGCCTGATGATGACCTTGTTACGGGTCCTTATGGAGCGATGGACGATGATGATTTCATGTAAAAAGAAAGGCATTTTAGTGACTGCACTTGCTCAATTTTTGTTTCACAGTTTTCTTTACTCATTTTGATTTGAAAATACAAGAAAGTTATCATTTTTAAAGAACCCACAATGAGTTCTCCAATGTGGAGCTAAAATTTTGGAAATCTATAGAAAAACTCTAAATTTAAAATACTAATATTTTTATTATTTAAAATTGTTAAAGAGTTCCATATAGAGCTCTCCAATGCAGATGCTCTAAGAACCCTCAACCATTCCAATTTACTCGACATTAACTTCTTATTATGTGGGTACGTCCTCTAGTTAATATATAAAAAAGATTGTTTCTCGAACTTATAAATCTTGAGGGTTTCAAGCAGGTCCAAGAAAACACATGTTTCGTTCATGAAAACGTAAAAAAAATCATTAATGCGATAAGTAAGGCAATCGGAGTAGTGGAATGTTTGTTAAATAGGGAGGTAAACGTTTTGAAAAGTTTTGTCATCCAAAAATATATGATACCTCTTGGTGGTATTTAGTATATTTGTGAGCAATATAATGTCTTGTGAGACATCAATTTTATATCCGTTTTTATTTATGTTTTTTTCTCTATCATTGTGGTTGTTAATGAACAAGATTTTTCTTTCTCTTTTATAATATTTTATTTTTAGTGTCTCATGTCTTCTTTAAATTACTGAAAACTCTTAATTTTAAAAAATAGTCTCCGAAAATTACTTTGCTGATTTTTGGGCTTTTTACTTTTTAAAATGTTGAGATAGGAATCACGGGCTTCAAAATTTATGTAAAAAAATGTTGTGGTTGTTCATCACTTGACACTCTCTTCCAACACCTAATCGCGACAACAACCTAGCTAATAAAATTTCTCTCACATGCATACATTCTTACACGTAATCGCCATGCAAATCTCCTTTCTCACGAACATATCAACTCCTCACTTCACTCTTAAACTCAAACCAAAACAAACTCATATCATCACAAACAAGTGAAAATAAAATAAAATGGCAAACAACTAAACAAGCTCTTCCTTATCTCTACAACTCTCGCCCTCTTCTTCCTCCTCACCAACGCTTCCATGATTCCATCTACCGCACCATCATGGAGTTAGATGAAGATGACGCAGCCAACACGGTAGGCGATGAGTTTGACTTGGAAGACGACATCGAGAACTCAAAGGGACCTCAGCAGAGACCGCCGCTACTCCAACATAGCTGCTACGAGCTTCATCAGGAAGTGCCAATTTGCATTTGCCCAACATTAGGACAAGCTGCCAAAGCGGTTACAAGTCAGGGACAGCTGCATGCACCACGCCAAGTGAGGAGTATCTAAACACTTGCCTAAGAGCATAATTATTGGTAGAGACCCAAAATGTTTTTTACTAATATTTTATCAATAAAACTAGTTTTAGAGACCTTGTTAAGAGATTTTTCTTTTGGCTGTTCTAATAGTATAACCCATTAAAGCAAGTGCATTAGAGAACTTTGGTGGAGCTCTACACAAAAAATGAAGAAAAAAAACAAAAATTAATGAGGTGGCGAGCTTTATTGACAGAATCAGTTCTCCCGGAGCAGCTTGCAAAATCGTCTCTGAGACAGCTCTACACGTGTCGGTATCTCATCCTCCAACCTTTTGTTTTGGAGCTCCACCCACAGTTCTCTAATTCAGAGGATCAAAACAGAGAAGAAAAGTTTAATCTTTTAAAAAGTCTACTGCTTACTCTGGAATACTGCATGCATTCAATCACACGAGAGCTCAATTCAAGCAATGCCTCTTCAAAGCCAACTAACTTCTTGTAGATCCGAGTCCATTCATCCTAAGAAATTTTGAAGAAAAAGAATTTCTTTAAGATTAGATCCGAGTCTGTTCATCCAATTCAACTAACTGCTTATCGTGTAATCGAAGTGGTCCATCAGGTCAACAGGCCTCGTCTTGTCTTTGTAAGTACAAAAAACTCTGTTCTTGAGTTGGTTTCCTGAAGTTTTCAGATGTAAAACTTTGATCTTGAGTTGTTTTTTGAAGTTTGCAGACGTAAAGCTTTGATCTTGAATTGCTTTTTGAAGTTTGCAATCGTAAAAGTTTCTATCTTGAATTGGTTTTTGCAGTTTTCACTTTAATCTTGAATTGTGTTTTATAAATTTTGCAGATGTAAAGCTTTGATCTTGAATTAATTTTTGCAGTTTGCACTTTGATCTTAAATGTTTTCTTTTTTAAGTTTGCAGATGTAAAGCTCTGATCTTGAATTTTTCTCATAAACTGTCTTTTTCTTCAAATTTTTTTAGGATGAACGAACTCCGATCTACAAGAAGTTAGTTGGTTTAGAAGGGAACTTGCTTGGATTTTAGCTCTCGTCTGGTTGAATGCATGCATAGTAAGCAGTAGACTATTCAAAAGATTAAACTTTTCTTCTCTGTTTTGATCCTCTATTTAATTCTTGTTTCTGATTGAAAGATTAAATTTGTGTTTATAGCTTGGAACTTTGCCGATTGATCTTCATCAGAATATTTATGAACTTTGTTCTGATTTGTTTTCCTCAAATTTATCTCTTTCAATCTCAAATCTTATGCTTTCTAATACCTTTTTCTTCGTCTAGTGTTTACAAATAGGATTTTGATTCTCGACTGTCTTTGATTTTCATTTGTTAGGTTCTATTTGATTTGAGTTTACACAGCAGAGAGATGATCTAATCTGAGTTTGATTTGTTATATATGTTTCTTTGTTAGCTTCATGGAGATTACACAACAGAGGATGTTGGTGTGAAAACTTAAGTGCTTGTTAGCTATGTCCGTCCTATTGTGTTTTTTATCTTTGTGTTTCCTTAGTGATTTTGATAATATTTTCAGAATTTGTGTCTTGCTTAAACTTCCTACGTTTTTTTTCTCTTTTGCATTTAAACATTCTTGAAAATTCCAAAAGAAAAAATGGGTTAAGAACCCTAAGGGGTTCTACCATTGAAGCAGCCAAAAGAAAAAAATCTCTTAACAAGGTCTCTAAAACTAATTTTATTAGAGACATTTTGGGTCTCTACCATTAATCATGCTCTTATGTGTCCTTAACTAAGCGACGTTGTTTCACATTATACTGTACCTATTTTTGATTTAATTAAATAACCCATATTGCTAAGAACATATGTTTAGACACGCCGTTAATCATGCTCTAAGGCAGGAGCGGATCTAGTAAATGAAGAGGGTGGTTACTTGACCCCCACTATTTTTATAAGAAAAAAAAATTCATGCTTAATTGGGTAATTAATGATTCTCTTAATTTGCTCATGTTTAATGATAGTTTTTGTTAAAGCATATAAAATTGACCCCTTGTTTTTCCTTTTGTTCAAATTTTGACCCTTTTGTGTGAGATATAATTCCTATCCGTTGCATCATTTTTATAATTTGTTTTCCATTTTTTTTTTGTGCAAAATAATAATTCCATTCAGATTAAACCGGTCCTAGACCGAGTGTAACCAGAGCGTTTTTCGCGATCTTATCGTCGATTACATTTGATTCTCTTTGAACATATCGAAAACTGATTTTCGAGAAGAAACAAGCTAGATCCAGGATATCGTGTAGAATCCCGTGGAGTTCCTTGTGCGGAATCCCTCTATTGATTGCTTTGATTAGCAGTTGCGAATCTGAAGCGACCGAGATGTGTGAGAGACCGAGGTGTTTGGCGTGTTGTAGCGCTCTGTGTACTGAAATTGCTTCAGCCAGCAGCGCTGATCTGATTGTGTTCTCCGATGCGGATCCGTGCGTCATCCGGACCCCTTCTCTCGTGCTGAATAGCCAGCCAAATCCCGCTGTTTTCCTCTCTCTGTTCCAGGCTGTATCGGTGTTGCATGTTACGGTGAGGGGATGAGCCGGAGGTCGTGTCTGAGATCGGATCTTCCGTGCCGGTGTTTTGATTTGCGCTGTTTGCCACTCTCTTGCGTTTCTTAGGGCTTGGGTTGTCGTATCCTCTGGGGTGAGCCTTCGAGACTCGAAGATCCGCTGGTTCCTGCTCTTCCAGATTGACCAGACTACCCACGGGGATATCGGTCCTGAGCTAATTCCGGTAGGAGGTAAGCAATTCGCATCCTTTGTACCTTCAATTCCGCTCCTCACACTCTGCACTAAACAAGAGTCAATTGTTTGTGTGCAGGGGATCAAGTTCCAAACCTTGATCGTGAAATCACAGCTAAAGAGGAGGTGGAGTGTTGTTTCCGCTTCACCACAGTGCGAGCATCGCACCGTTGTGTTCACATTCCTGGCTCGGAGATTCTCTCCCACCGGTAAACCGTTTCTCATTGCTTTCCACATGAAGAGTTTGGTTTTTTGTCCTGTGTTGAGCCTCCATATTTGTTTGTTCCAATCGAATCCCCTGAGTAGTAGTTCTTCAGTCCCCTCCATTTCTATATCTCCTAGAGCTGGTCCCATGTCTTCGTCTGCCTGAAGCCCTTTATAGTAACCCGACTTAGCTATGTAGATTCCATCCTCCGTGTGTAACCAGATGGTCTTGTCTCTTGCTCCCTTTGCGCTTGGTCTTAGTTCGAGTACTCGTTCCTCATGGAACGGCATGATGTCTCTAATTTTCTCCTTGTTCCACTGTCCCGTTGCAGGTGAGATGAGGCATGACACAAGTAAATCCTTTGTTTGCTCCGGGGGGGTGTCCCATTGGTGTGTCTTGTTGGTCAAGTGAGAGCCAAGGTTCTGACCAGAGGCTTGTCGTGGCTCCATCTCCTATTGCTCTTCCTAAGTTTGGTTTAAGTAGCTCCTTGCCTATGCATATCCCTCTCCATCCGTGCCAGGCTGAAGTAGGAGGTATACTGTCCAGAAAACTCTCGTCATGGCAATAATTTTGTTTTCCATTTAGGGCCTGACTGGTTTAACCGCTGCGGTTGCGGTTGCGGGTGCGGGAGTTTGCGGAAGCGGGCGGTTGTGATTAGTAGCGTTATTAAGCGGTTTGTACGACTGGCATAACAATTGAAAATGGATGCGTTTGCGGGATACTTATGACTGGTTCACTTGCGGATGCAATAGCGGTTAAACAATAAATTAATAATATAAACACATTATATAATTATAAAAATATCAAAACTATATTATAATGAAAATTTTAAATTTATGGTTCAACATAATTAAAAATAATTTTTTTATAAAGAATAATATGTGTATAATACTTACGTCTATTTTTTAATTTCTATAATTTAAATAAAAAATGTGATTTTATTTTCAAAATATATATTTAATGTGAAAATTAAATTTATATTACAATTTTATTTATTAGATATATATGTATTAGTATGAAAAGAATATTTATCAAGAGAATTTTGATTTGTAGAACTTATAAATATATAAGTATGATATGATTTTAATGAATATTGACTAAAAGTACTAATTTTTTTTTATATTGTGATTTTATTATCCAAATCTTATTTTTTAATAAAGATTATTATTTATTTTCGGATTTTATATAAGTTTGTGTTTTTTTTTTTTTTTAATTATCCACCCGCAACCGCAAACGCTGCTGGGAAGGAGCTTTTGATTTTGAGGGTTGTTGAGGATCTTGAGCGGTTTAAAGCGGTATAAAGCGTTTGTGGTGATTGTTGTCAAACGCCAATAACCGCTACTACCCGCAAACGCTGCGTTTGCGGGTAGCAGCGGGTGAACCAATCAGCACCTTAAGAGCCTGATTGGTTCTCCCGCTACCACCCGCAAACGCAGCGTTTGCGGTTCGTAGCGGTTTTCGGCGGTTTATAACAATCACGACAACCGCTTTGAATCGCTCTATACCACTCTGTACCGCTCTATATCGCTGAAAATCAAAAGCTCCTTTCCGCAAGCGTTTGCGGTTGCGGGTGGATAATTAAAAAAAAAAAAAACACAAACTTATATAAAATCCGAAAATAAATAATAATATTTATTAAAAAATAAGATTTGGATAATAAAATCACAATATAAATAAAAAATTAGTACTTTTAGTCAATATTCATTAAAATCATATAATACTTATATATTTATAAGTTCTACAAATCAAAATTCTCTTGATAAATATTCTTTTCATACTAATACATATATATCTAATAAATAAAATTGTAATATAAATTTAATTTTCACATTAAATATATATTTTGAAAATAAAATCACATTTTTTATTTAAATTATAGAAATTAAAAGATAGACGTAAGTATTATACACATATTATTCTTTATATATTTTTTTAATTATGTTGAACCATAAATTTAAAATTTTCATTATAATATAGTTTTGATATTTTTATAATTATATAATGTGTTTATATTATTAATTTATTGTTTAACCGCTATTGCATCCGCAAGTGAACCAGTCATAAGTAACCCGCAAACGCATCCATTTTCAATTGTTATGCCAGTCGTACAAACCGCTTAATAACGCTACTAATCACAACCGCCCGCTTCCGCAAACTCCCGCACCCGCAACCGCAACCGCAACCGCAGCGGTTAAACCAGTCAGACCCTAAGTCTAAGGTTTGCAAGTTCCAGCAAGTTAGCGTTTAGCGTTTGTCCCTTCAGACTATCCTTCCTCTCACCCCCACTACTAGATTCCAAATGAGACACCCTCGTTAGGGTTATACAACACGATGATATGAGTGTGGTTGTTGATCTATATTATGGGGAAATTTCAAAACTACATCTTTTGAGATGCCAATTTTCAAAAATACATTTCTATGGTGCCAATTTTCAAAACTACACTTTTTTCATTTAGTAAAAGAACTCTAAACCTTAAAATATAAATCCAAAACCCTAAAATCTAATATTGAACCCTTAAATCTAAACCCTAAACCCCAAAATCTAAATCCTAATATAGGATTAGTGAACCCAAACATATATATTAAAATTGGGGAAAGGTGTATTTTTGAAAATTTCCACACGATAGGTATAGTTTTGAAAATTTGCACCTCAAGAGGAGTATTTCATAAAATTTCTCCTATATTAACACTATATATGGTATCGTGTGTGTTTATTAGAAAATGTTAGCATATGATGTTTTGGGGGCACAAGTCTGATTCGGTCTTAATTGAGCAAAAATAAACAAACTTAGTCTCCATTAATCTAACATAGTCTCCTAAGTGCTATTAATTACCAATATACCATTAATGAATCTGACTCAATATTAAAATTAAATAAAAACAAAATTTAAAATTCAACCAATGAGATTGAAGAGAATATGGGCCCACGATTTGCTCTGATTTGTTTTTTCTGAAATCAGACCCGCTGCCAAATCGAACTCCATGCGACACGTGGCATTTTAATTTTAATTTATTTTTATTATTTTCACTTAGTTATCCCTTAAGACAACGACACATGACATTTAAATATATATTTATTTTTTTATTAGACTACATTTACACATAGTTATACCCAAGATTTCAGTTATACTCTTCTCTAAATAGTTGTACATTAGAAGTTGAAATTGATATACAATTGTACACACTATAATCTTTATAATTTTGGGTTGTACTTATGATTATAAGTAATATTTTTAACTTCTTTACGTAATCATGTAATCAAAATTTTAATAAAATATTATTAGCACACTTTTGCATCTTTAGATGGTGTCCATTGACCCATGAAAGTATAAGATAAATATAGTTAATTTTTTATCATAGTGAATTTTTTTTATCAAAATTCTATTTACTAGATATAAATATATAATACGTTAAGTTTTATTCCCATTTTTATCTTTAATACATCCAATTATAAGTTTTAATAAACATTAATTACACTGTAAAATATGAAATTACACCATGTTTCTTCATTTGATCCAGGAAATTGTTGAATTAACACATAACAATATAAATGGTAATCTAAGGAAACTGATTTGAATGATGAAATCCAATCCAGTTTTACAATGACAAATAATGTCGTTTTAAGAAGAAAACAAATATAAGAGTTCTCTTTCTTTTCCTGCAATTATCATTCTCATCAAATGCAGAAAACTCAATGATTTCCTCCCCATAAGAAACCTCCTCACTTACCAACAAGACGAGGATATGATGGCGCCAATACCTTCTTGTATCACGAGAAAATGCTGGCGTTGTGACCCAAACTGACCAGAAAATCGCAAACCGATACGTCGGTCACTCAATAGGCTTCGGACTAGGTACACTTGGAGGTAAAGGCGGTCGCTTTTAGCTTGTCAATGACGCGGCGAATCCAATTACTGGAACACTTATACACTTTGTAGTTTAGCCGAAATCTTTATGCATCGTGGCGACATGTGAATCAAATTCAGAGACGAACTCATCATTGGAAGCTACAAAACGATCAACAAACGAGACAGACACGAATATCCAAATCACCGGCCATGGATGCCTCATGGTAGCAAGTGAGCCAAGCCATCATCCACAATATCTACATTCATCACTGCAAATCCTCTTGCAACACTTCGTCGCCAACATATGGATTCGAGGAGTCTTCGATCACATTTGAATTGATCACTGCTCTCTCAGTTATTGTGAGAACGGACCATCTGGGAAGCAACCATTGATGTCATCCTTGCATCCGCCGCGGTCACAATTGCAACAACGATTTCTCTGTTTCAAACGAATTGCTTGAAAAACAGAGGAATTTTACGGATGGGTTTTAAACAGAGGGATTCGAGGAGTCTTGTTACTTATCAATTGTTTGAATTGATGTTAAAGTGACGAGGCTGAGAGGAGGAGGAACAGATAAAATGAAGCGGAGGAGAAAAATTAATTCTGAGATGGATTTGGATAAATTCTCAGATGTTGCTACAACCAGCGAACACCTTTTTTTCTCCTTTATCATTCGGAAATTAATTGAGAGAAGGAAACAGGAAATAGAACTAAGAAAATAATTTTACCCAAAAAAAAAAATGAAAACGCAGGGAACGAGAGGAGGAAAGAGGGAAGAAGCTCGAGAAAAGAGGGATGAACGCGGAGGGAAGATGGATTCGACCCGACTATGTGGCTTTGGGTTGGGTCTATAATATTGTTAAGTTAGTAAGGTTATAATGTCATTTAACAATTTTTCGGATTAAAAGAAAATGGTTAAAATTTATGAGTTATAACGAGGGTAGAAGAGATCCATTTTACTCTCATGAGACCACACGAGCCATTGTTCTATGTTTTGGCTAATGTAATTAGCACTACCCCATAATAACAAAACAAGTTTTTTTGGGTACTTTTTCTACTCTATAAAAATAATGTCAGTTAAAAATAATTAATCTAATGATCGGGAAAGATCAATCAGCTCCGGTCCAATGAAATTGGTAGTCCATAAACCAATAATGTGGCTTTTGTAAATAATAAAGAGGAATTTAACGGTACAAACGAAAATATGTGGCCTAAAAAAAAAAATCGGTGGTCTTATAGCGGACAGGGCACGAAGATCATAGACTATTGGGCCACGAATCACCATTGTCTGAAGAAACTCGGATATTAAACACCTCTTGACATCACCGTTGTAAACGTGTTAGCAAGAACTAAAGCCTTTATCATCAACAGGTCCATTTTATATAATTGTCGGATTCGGGCCGGGAGAGGTTTGTTGTAAATTTTAGCCCACATAATAAACATAACCATTTTAGGAATATAGAAATGAAGACAACATAAAGCGAGCAGAAACAAGGTGGGAAATGAAGTGAAGTCTATAGTAGTCTTTTAGAGTTTAAGGAAGTGGTGCATTTCCTCAGGATCCAAAATTTTGTGTGAAAAATTATGTTACATTTTAAGGTATTTTCGGAAATTTTAGGGTCCTGTTTGCAAATTTAAATTGTTTATAGGGTATTGTTTATAAATTTATATGGTTCATTTTTGTAAAAATCTAAATTATTGCTACGCTAAGCTGCATGGAATCAGAAGCGGGTACGGGGAAGCGGAAGCGTTTGGAAGCGCAAAAGCGATATTTTAAAAAAATTAGGAAGCGGGTACGTGTTGGAAGCGTCTACATATATACATATATATATATGTGTATATAGCATAAATCAAATATATCAATTTTATATAATTCAATTAATAATAATTCAAATCAAAAACCAATTTTAGTTTCTTATTTCGCTATTCTCTAACTCCATGTAAAATAATTTTATAATATCTATGTTATTAAAGAAAGATCACTAAATTGAAATCGCATTTTTCTAATCAAAAGAATTATTCTCATTTTATTTGTAATAATTTTTCCAAACAATTTTTTTATAGATAGATAATAGATTAAAATTAGTCTTTAATTTGTGAATGCCAAATTAAATACATGGTATATTAATTTTTCATTTTTATAAAACTTATAAAATCATAAACATATAAAAGTATTCATAATTATTTAAGATATCATATTTTTAAACGGAAGCGTAAGCTTCCAAAACGGAATTACAAGCTTCCAAAACATTTTTAAAGGGGTTTTTTAGGAAGCATCATGGAAGCGAGCTTCCGAAAACTTCCAAGAGCTTCCGATTCCGAAGCGGGAAGCGGTCATCGGATGAAGCTTCCGTGCTACGTAGTTGCTACGAAATTAATGGGCCGGGCATGGGAAGTACATAATCTTTCAGGTCATATTATGTTTTGTTCTGAAATAATACGTTTCTTATTAAACTTCATATTGACAAATACATTGAAGTTTCAAATAGAGCAATATAGAGTTTGACAAAAGAGAGGCAAAGAAAAAAATAAGAGAAAGAATTTATTTTGGATAATCCATTAAGAAAAAGGAGATGTTAGGGGACCAACGTTTGTGGGGTAAGTTTCCGTTGAATGTGTCCCCAACCAGGAACCGGCAGTGCTGTCATTGGTTGCATGAGGACATTTCAAACTTTGAACAGTAACAAAAATAGGACAGGCTTATGAGCCAATAATAACCTATGCCCTATACTTAGGAGGATGTGACACCGGCTAGGGATGCAATTTCATTCCGATAGTGGTTAATCAATTTCTAGACCCGGTGAAGAAGGGATGCAACCCCCTCTCCTTCCCATTCAAGAGTCGCAGATTGTACAAATTAAAGGTGACGGTTTAAGCTGGCATTTTAAGAAATCAGGAAAATTACAAACAAAAAAATCAACATTTTTAAGCATTTTTTAAAAAAATGGGATCACCAATGAACCAAAAAAAATTACTAGATCAATTATTCTATCTTTGTAATCACAATTTTGAAAGATAAAAGATCTCTAAGAACTTAACCATTTTATCTTTAACCACTTGTGAAAGGTAAATGAAGGAAACCTAATAACTGCCATTGGACTAAGGATAAATTATAATATGGGACAGAAAAAGTAATATTTAAAGGTGAAAATTTCGTATATATATATATATATTTAAAACCGCAACCATGGGTTTACTTTGCTTAGACTCAGGATTGGTTCTACATGTAATCACGAAAAAATCGTGGGATAAAGTTCAAAACATGGAATGTAGAGAAATAAATTTATCCCTTGATCGGATACCACATGTGAATCGACCAAGTAAGTAGATATGGGAAGATAGATGGTTTGGTTTCATGTCTAGGATGAATATGCTTCAAGGAGGACGAGGTTGGGACACTAATAAAAACCCAAGTCAACGATGAAGTCTATCACCATTACAATTAGACTTGAAAGTTTTAGTATGGGCTATGGCTAGGCACTAGCCGCAATACATTATTTTTGGTATGTTTAACCAGATTTTCAGATTAATCTAATTACAAAGGTTGACCCAAACAAAGGAAAATAGTAGAAACAAAAGAAGAATCAACTTATCAAAAGAATGATTTCAGATAAATCATAAAAGTAAATCAAAGGATCAAATTTAATAATAAGAGCAAACAAAAGAGTGGCAACGGCTACTTCGTAGTTACCAACTAATTTTGCTGTCCAATGCACAACTTGTTTTACACCAAAAGTTGTGCTCTTCAAAACTTACATTTATAAAAAAAAAAACTCCTATATATTCACTTATTCAGATATAGAAATAAGTGAATATAGAAAATTTACCTTTACGAAAAAAAAAACTCCTATAGCATAGTTTAGTGTGTACTTTTTTCAATTTAAATATAGAAAATTTACATAACATTCAGTACTAAGTTTCACTACTATACTCAAAATTAATCACCACGCATATTAATACATTAATAGTAAACTTAACAAAAACAAAAAACAACTAATTATGACTCAAGTTTCTAGGCTTTGTTTCCCAGAGCACAAAACTCTGACTAGTGACTGTGTAGTCTCTCTCTATCTAAGTTAGATTATAGACGACCGTTTGATTTCTTTTTGACCATTTGAAATCTCAAGATAAGATCTGAGCCGTCAATTCAACTGTTACCTCACTCACTCTCTGTCTCTCTCTCTCTCTTTCGATATCACCAACAAATTTTCTAACTTTTTCTCCATGTCCTTTTTCCCTCAGAGCTTTAAACCCTATTTTCTCTACACTCACACAATTTTGCCCTTTCCTTTTTTTGTGGGTTTTTATTTATTCCTCATAAAGTCGACATTTTTAAGACCCAAAACCCATAGTTTTTTCTTTCCTCTGTTTCTTGTCTCTTTGGGTTATCTCAGATTCTCAGAAACTCAAAAGTCTGTCTCTTTCCATGGCTCCTCTTCTTCTCCTTTCGCTTTCTCTTTCTCTTTTTGTTCTTGCTTCAGCGTCTCCTTCTCCCCCACCTGATGAAGGTAAGTTCTTGCTCTAATCTTGAATCTCTGTTTCTAATCTTGGGCCTCTCTAGTTTCAGATTCAATCATCAGTCTCAAAATTTGATTTGCATGTCTTAATGTTCTTACATTTCATTTGTAAATACTAAATACACTGTCAGTGATTAATGAAATAGCTTCTAGATACTCTCTTAATATAAACTAATCTTTGAACACTTGCAAAGATTATTGTTGATTTCTTTTGTTTGTCTCGTGTATGAATTATTTGGCTTTATCTATCTGTTTTGATTAATTTTGAGTGGGATTTGAGAGTGTGGTAGGTTATGATATTAAATGTCTGTATGCGTTTTTGGCAGGTGGGCTTGTTTTTTAAATGCTCACTATAATTAACAAGAATTGTGTTTTTAATGCCCTTCCCAAATTTATTACAGGACAAAATATCTAAACTTCTACTGTTTCAGTCACAGTTCTGTCTTTGAATCTGAAATCTTGTTGCATCTTTAATGTAATTGAGGGTTTAGGGTTTAGATGTACAGAAACACAAAGTCCAAATCTTTCTGTATTCTACACTCTTTTTGGACTAAATCCAGACAATATTATTGAGAAGATGTTAATTTTGTGTTTTTGTCAATCAAAGTTGCTATTTTTATGAAACTTTTGGTTGAATATAATTGTTGTTGCCAATGATATCTCTGAAACTATTACAAAGCTGTGATTTTTGTGTGTTTTTGTCAATCAAAGATGCTATTTATATGAAACTATTGGTTGAATATAATGTTGTTGCTAATGGTTTCTCTGAAATACAAAGATGTGGTCTATGTGTGTTCTTGTCAATCAAAGATGCTATTTTTAATGCAACGTTCGTTTCAAAATCTTTGCAGGTGCATTCATAGGAGTTAACATAGGGACTGATCTCTCTGACATGCCACATCCAACACAAGTCGTAGCTCTCCTTAAAGCTCAGCAGATTCGACACATCCGCCTCTACGACGCAGACCCAGGGATGCTAATAGCTCTAGCAAACACAGGAATCAAAGTCATAATCTCAATCCCTAACGACCAGCTTCTTGGCATTGGCCAGTCCAATTCCACAGCAGCCAACTGGGTCAAACGCAACGTCGTTTCTCACTACCCTGCAACCACCATAACCGCCATCTCCGTCGGCTCCGAGGTCCTAACAAGCCTCCCAAACGCAGCTCCAGTTCTCGTCAGTGCCATCAAGAACATCCACGCAGCTCTCCTCTCATCAAACCTTGACCGTTCGATCAAAGTCTCAACTCCTTTATCAACATCCCTAATCCTAGACCCTTTCCCTCCTTCGCAAGCTTTCTTTAACCGGTCTTTAAACCCGGTTATCGTCCCGTTGCTAAGCTTCTTGCAGTCCACGGACTCATACCTCATGATCAACGTCTATCCTTACTACGACTACATGCAATCAAACGGTGTGATCCCACTAGACTACGCTCTCTTCAAACCAATCCCTCCAAACAAAGAAGCTGTTGACGCCAACACTCTAGTCCGCTACTCAAACGCCTTTGACGCAATGGTGGACGCAACGTACTTCGCAATGGCCTTCCTCAACTTCACGAACATCCCCGTTCTTGTAACGGAATCAGGCTGGCCTTCCAAAGGAGAGACCAACGAGCCTGACGCTACGCTTGACAACGCCAACACTTACAACAGCAACCTCATAAGGCACGTTCTCAACAAAACCGGAACCCCAAAACGCCCCGGGATCGCTGTGAGCACATACATCTACGAGCTTTACAACGAGGACACAAAGGCTGGATCTTTATCAGAGAAGAGCTGGGGATTGTTCAATGCGAATGGTGAACCTGTTTACATCTTGAGGCTGACTAACTCTGGCTCGGTTCTTGCTAATGACACGACGAACCAGACTTACTGTACTGCGAGAGAAGGTGCTGATCCTAAGATGGTTCAAGCTGCTCTTGATTGGGCTTGTGGACCTGGGAAGATTGATTGCTCTCCTATTAAGCAAGGAGAGGCTTGTTATGAGCCGGATAGTGTGGTTGCTCATGCTAACTATGCGTTTGATACTTATTATCATCAGACTGGGAATAATCCTGATGCTTGTAACTTCAATGGTGTTGCTAGTATCACCACCACAGATCCAAGTAAGATATAGAAAACAAAAAAAAAGCTTTTCTTGATTATATACATTACATTGTTGCAAGATTGATTCTTGATTTTCTTGATTTGTGGTTGCATTGCAGGTCATGGTTCTTGTGTGTTTGCAGGAAGGTAAAATTTTATCCTAAATCCTTCTATAATCTTGGTTTGGTTCGGTTTATTCGGTTTTTGGATTGAACATTCATATTTGTTGAATCTTGGTATGTGCTTAGTTTTGATCTTTGTTTTGGTGTTTTCCGGTTGCAGCCGTGGTAATGGTAGGAATGGGACTTCGGTGAACATAACTGCGCCATCGGCGAATTCGACTAGCTCTGGAGTAGGGAGTGATTTGTATTACGGTCGAGGAATGTTGAGCATTTTGACAGTGATTTTGAACGTTGCTTTCTTGTGAGAGATGTTCTTTTGGTTCTGGGGAAGTTAAACTTTTTTTCTAGGTGGGATTGGAGTTAGATTTTAAGGCCAATTGTGTTTGGATTCGATTCTTGTACACAAACAAAAACCCAAGAAAACATTTATTGGTCTGTTTTTCTCATTCTTCATTTGACCGAGTATGTTTATTTCTGATAACAAAAATCAAGAACTTGATCAAGAATTAGTAAAGAACACGGGGTCAATTTCACACCAATTGCTTTCTTCTAGCTGCTTATACATCAATCTTGATAATTACACAAAGTTCTATAGAGAAGAAAGAATCCGAAGCCTAAGATTGTTCTAAACGCCAACGATGTTCTTGAGCTCATTAATCTTAGAATAAGAACAAAAGCAATTGAAGAAACAACTCAATTTTGTTATGTTTTGTGCATTTTTTTCACGATATTCATGTGCACAAATTTGATCATAAATCCATAAGGCAACAGCTTCTTCATTTACACCTAATCTCTTTTTATAGATTAACAACCAAATGCGACTGTAAAAGAAAGATTCCAAAACACAACGCATCGACATTCAAACCAAACCAGACTTCAACAAATCTGAGGTATTCGTCAGAAGAGTAGGCAAACTAAACATAACATTAGATAGATAATCTTCAACAAATCTGATCTGCTTTTTAAGAGATGTTCATAGCTTCTGCGTGATAGCTCTCAAGATCCTTGTCTAGATCTGCAGCCGACTTCTTCCCACCTCGGCCGCCGCTTTTAGCCCCTCTGCCACCACCACCACCGCCTCGGCCTCTACCACCACGAAACCCACCTCGACCGCCACTAACACCTCCTTGTTTGTTGTTTTGGCTGCTGCCACTAAACACAAACATACAATAAGATAAAGATGATAACACCATTGCTGATACATAAGCAAGCTCCTACTCATAAGCCACTTACATTGGAAGGCGTCTCGCAAAAGGAGCTACACTTCGTCCTCTTCCTCCTCTCCCACCTCTAATCCCTTGTCTGCAAAGAATCAGTCATCATCAAAAGGTCTATTTCATTTAGTTTACTCTCCGTAAATTTGGAAAGACCAAGCAATAGCAACATACCCAATTGAAACAGTCCTCTTCACCCTTCCGTTCAATCCAGAAGGAGCAGCCTCGGTGTTTCCACCACCGACAATCTCCAGTCTCATAGACCTTCCATCCAACAGTACGTTGTTGTATCTCTTCAAAGCTTGAATCGCATCGCTTCTTCTCATGTACACAACTTCAGCCGAGCCCTGGCATCATCACACCACAGCGGTAAGGAACAAACAGATAAAACCACCAGAGCAAAAGAGAAAAACAGACTTCAGTAACTACGACTTACATTTGGACGGCCGTTTTGGTCATAGTGGAGTGCAAATCTTTTCACCTCTCCAACCTCACCAAAGAGCTCCTAAGAGTGCAAATTGAATTTAAGAATTTTCGCCTCGTAGAGCCAAAAAACAGCAAAAGCACTTGGAAACGTAGAGAACTATATACCCTTATGTCGTCATTCGTTACTCCTTGATCAAGGTTGGTAACATAAACCGTGGTTCCGATTTCAACTCCTGATACACCAGCAGCTCTCAGGCTTGCTTCAAACAAATCACTCTGCAGTGGGAAGCTCCTCTTCCTGCGGGCAAGCTATTCAGTAGAACAGGTTTCAAGTCAGCTAAAAGGGTTTTCGTAGAATCTTGATGAAGACGCAGTAATCAGCAAATTTCTTGAAAAGATGAGGAAAAAACCACCCATTTGCCTTGAAAGTAACTAAGAGAGTCAAAGCAAAAGAGCTCCAGGAAGAAGTAGTCAAGAACCATCCAAGGAGGAAAACCAAATTGAAGCCAAAAACAAAGTCCTTTGGAGAATAAAAAAAACTGAGACTGCCATCACACTCCCCAAGAAATTCCAGATGAAGCAAGAGGCCCATCGTAAAGCCATCATAACAGTAAAATTGCTGAAATTCCCCCCCCTAACATCTCAAGACCACACATATTTTGAGACTTTTTCCCCCTTGTGTTGTTGTTATTTAACTTTTCCATAGCAATTTGATGACACCCTATGTCAAGAACTACTTAGCTGACTTGAGATCCTCAATAAAAGTACTGTGAAGCGAAAATATCAACCAACGACTTCTGCACATCTATGCAGGACTAAGAGAAATCGTCTCCATAAACTACATGTTAGAAGATCCTTTATCCTCCCAGACGAAGTTACGAGTGCTAAAAAAGGTGTCATCATCAGAAGTAACATCCCAGATTTCGGATTTTCAATCACACACAAAGAACATCCCAGATTTCGGAGCTTGCCTTGTTAATAGCGAAGGATGATTGTTGAGCGTTTACAGCAAGAGGACCTCTGCGTACAGGTCCAGCTCCTCTTCCAGCTCCGAGAGAACCCTTTGCTCCACGGCCACCACGGCGGGAAATTCCTTTATTAACTCCAGACTTTGCTGCAGTCTTACTCCTCTTGACAATTTCATCAAGGGTCATGTTCAATGAATCTGACATCTTCAAACTTTGCCGATTCAAACAAACCTGAACCAATTAGGGTAAATACATTAAAATTCGTCACCACCAACACAATTATGAGACGCGAACAAGACGATTAAAGGAAAAATCAAGCACTAGCGAATCGGCAGATCCTGAAACCTAAAACACGTTTTCCTCGTAAACAATAAATTCACAACGGCGACACAAAATTGACGGAAAGTCGTTATCGATCGATAGATCCAGATGTCTAATCAAATCCGAAACCTAGATTCTTAAGCGATATCAAACCAGATGCATATCTCCGATGAATAATTCACAACAACAGAGAGAATCGAAGCGAAGATTTACCTGATGAAGAACAAAGGTAGAGATCGAACAAAATTCGATGGATCCGCTAGGGTTTTAAGGAGCTCGAATGTGGAATTAGGGATTTTTTGTCTTTTGAGAATTTGAGAGACGAAAGGGGGGAAACAGCTGTGATTTATTTTATTACGGCTTTGGGATGATGAAGAAGAGTCGTGATTTAAATAGGTGTAGGTCAACGAGGTACTTTTGTAAATATATTGGATTTAGAGGGTGTTTTACGTCTTTTACGTTTTGATATTAATGGAAGGAAAAAAATGGTAAGGCGGCGAGAGAAAAAAAAAAAAAAGATGCCAGCTAAGCTAAGGCGTTTACCCGTGTTTAGTTAAAAAGGAAAATTACAAAATAAGAACTAGATTTAGCGAGATTATTAAAAAAGTTCCTCCAAATTATACTCATTAACTATGGGTATATTTACATTTCTTTGGTTATCTAATATATTATCTTTAGAAAAATCCAACTAAATAAATAGGAAAAAGTATTAACTTAAATATTAACTAAAATTTTCTAATTTTAAAATGTTTAATGTATTGTAAAAACACATAATTAATAATTTTTATGTGACTTACATCATTTAAGACTTAAAACATATATAATTTTTGTAAGATAAATTTAAAAGTTGAAAATATGTAAAATAAGTATAACACAAAAGTAAATAAATAATAATAGATAAATAATGGTAAACAATAACAAAATCTTATTATATAAAGCTGGATGCGCGCAACGTGGTTGAGACACATAAGATTTTTATAATTTATAGGATTGTAACATGTGTTATTTTTTATGTTATGTCTGTTAAGATCGTGACACATGTCTTGAAAAAAAAAGAAAAAAAGAATATCGTAACTAAAAAAATGTTAAAAAGGTTATTGGAATATATGCGGGTTATTAAACCTACTCCATGTATTCATATAAAATCATCTATTGGAACAAAAAGAAAAAATCATATTTGTCATATCCTAATAGAGAAAGGTTTCTCATTCATCAAATTAATATTATCCAAACACATATTAAAATTCAAAATAATGTAATAAACAAAATCATATTAGTGCATTAGAAAAAATCAGAAAAAGAAACGAATAATTAAAAGGAAAAAATATTACATCCATTAGGAAAAGTAAAGAAAAAATATAATCCTATTACAAAATGGAAAAAAAAACAACGAAAATCAGAAAAACATTAAGAAATAACTAAAAAATATTACATCTGATAAGAAAATGAATAAAAACATATTCCCATTACGAAAAGGAACAAAAAAACCAATATATAACAAGCTATATATTTTTTAAGTTTCTTTTCTCATTAAGAAATAAAAAATCATATCTTTAAAATTTCAAGATATCAATGAAGAATACTTAACTCTAGATCGTTACATGTGTCTGATATTTGATCACGTAATGACATGTGTCAACAAAAGAAAATTGGAAAAATGAAGTAACATGAATAAATAAACTAACAAAATAATTGTAAAACAATTAACTAATAATGAACATGAAAATTTATAATGGTTAGAGGCAAAAAAAAAATTGAAAAAGAAACAATATAAATAGAAAACTAACGAAATAATTATCAAGGAACTAAATAATATTAAAATGAAAATTTTATAAGGGACTGCTCTTCTAATATTAAATAGTTTAATTTTCCATTTTTTTGTTAGGTAAAAAAATATTAAAAATAAAGATTTCATCATATTTGAAATAAAGATTTCATCAATATTTAAAATAAAGATTTCATCAATGGAATAATCAAAGTTTCATAAATTAATGAGTCGATTAGATTTAGACACATGTAAGTCTTTTTATTTGATATCATTAATTCAAAATAAAAATGTAAAAAGATTACATATCATATTTTATTTAGAGATTTATCATCGGGTTAATATTATTTTACTTATTTTTAAAAGTGATCAAATTTTGTTTAATATTTTCCGTGTTTTTTTGCATAGTTTGCCAAAACAGTTATCAATACAAACGATCTTTGGATCTCTGTTTTAGTGTTTTACTGCAGAAACTTCAGCTCCTCCTAAACTCATTATCAAATTATGTTGTGCGGATTCCGGCTCCCACAATATGGCGCTAGAAAGAGGGTGGGATTGAAGTTCTTACTAAAAAACCTACTTACGCGAGATCCGAAAAGATAGTGATGAAACAACACAAATCCGTCCAACGGAGCGACCGACCATTGACATCGAGGCGAACCCACTGGTCAGAATGAATACATATGGCTTACTGACAAGAACAAAGCAATCCACCTTGATGGAGTTTAAGGAGATGCTCACCGCGCTGCATTCGGCATCTGACGAGCAGATCGACGCTTTGACGACAGAGCTGGAATCCGTAAGGGCATATGGAAGAACTGAGGATGACGAGATCAATCCAATGCATCCAACGAGAGAAACTTTGCATAGGAACTAGGTTAATCCCACTACGTTGAATTTTAAAACACCACAAGGGGCAGCAGGGAGAGTTGATGAACCAAGCGAAGAATAAACGCCTCTCCAAGGAGCAATCGGCTCGAGTGCAACTGATCTGCCGCCCATCCAAAGACAAAAAAATCGAAAAAGGGACACACCCCGATGGCTAGGAACACATAGATCCGGCACGATGCGAAACGCAAGCAACACGCAACTGATACAAGAAAAGCTCATCGCGATCCTACCAACCTATGGTTCGGCGGAATCGGTTCAGAGCAGGCTAAGGCAACAAGAAACTGAAGAGCTGCGGGATAACAGCTCGACTATCTGGTGGATATGACATATTTTCAAACGACTAACATTAAAGAAGCATCATGATAAGCTGAACAAATCATGGACTGTAAAAACGTAGAGCCAAGTTTTAGACGTGCAGACCGGACACATGGGCTCAGCCGCGAACCACCTGAAGGAGCCGCAAAAGGGTTAAGATGAGACATGTTGCCACCGTTATACAACACTGATAAATTCACCGAACCCGCCTACTTAGTGTTTTTCCTCTTGGATATAGTTTGAGCTCGGTGAGCCTAAAGAATCTTTAGTGAAACCAAGGAACCCGCCAAGCCTTAGCGCTTCTCCCCCTAGATATAAAACGAGTTCAACAAGTCAGGCAAACTTGACGAATCTGGGGAACCTAGTGTATGAGGTGATCATGACGAAGGGGTCAAATTTCACAAATTTGGCGAGCTTGATGAACCAGGCATACCCGGCAAACGTGGCAATTGTTTAGGACCTACCAATTTAACGAACCCAACAAGCTTGACGAACAGAGAAACAATATCGGAATCTTTGGTTAGAAATATGTTGGCCTCGCTGTTGAAAAAGAAAGCTAACAAGGAAGAGCAGCTGAAAAACACTTTGACTAATGTCTGAGAGCCACACTCAAGACGCGCATATCATTCACATGAGAGCCAAAGGCAGGACGTCAAACAGACCAGGAAAACGGCTCGACAATTCCACCACTACAATCGAGAAGGCTCGACAAACCCTAACTCGCCTCAGAGTCGTACAACAGAACATGACAATGAAGGAAACTCGCCGCCACTCTAATTGGACAACTATTCAGAGATGAGTTAGTTCGGATCATATCATGAATCTCATAGGCGAAGCAAGGCGAGTCTACGAAATGAAGCTGACGAACCTGGACATAAACCATAACCAACATTATAAAACAAAAAGGAGTAAGGAGAGTCCAAGCAGACGATTTCGACGAAATCTAAAATTTTCTTCGGGAAAACGGCTCTCCAATCTTCAAACATAGTAAACGCCTAGCCATGAAAAATGGCTCTCCTAACTTTTATTGTAGAAAACGGTTCTCCAAATTTCTATCATAGAAAACTCCTCGGCAATCTTCTCTCTAAGAAAACGGCTCTCCAAATTTCTATCAAGAAAAATGGCTCACTAAATTTCGCTTTAAATAGGCGGCTCTCCCAAGTTAGACAGCTCTCCTCAGATAATAGGCATTTCTCGCAGATAAAAAAACAAGAACGAGTCAAGATAAAAAATGATAATAATTTTTTTTTTTGGCAAATCAAGAATCTAGTGTTTTCAACACATGAGAAAAAAACGGCAGAAGAAGGAGAAGAAAGCAAAAAGTCGATCTTCTTTAACGACATCATATATTGACTCACTCTCAAAAGATCTCATCATTGAAATATTTTTGAGATTACCAGCAAAATTAATAGCAAGGTTTCACTGCATCTAAAAGCAATGGACTACTATTCTCTACCGTACAGATTTCACCGATAATTTCTTGAAGATGCCTTCTTCCCGTCCTCGTCTCTTTTTTTCCTTTCAAAGTCGGTGGCAAGTGGCTCTTCTTCTCCACACCTGAGCCTCTAAATCCAGACCATGACTCATCTCCTTTAACCGTCGATCGTCACATGTGTTCCCCAACCATAACACGTTCCCTTCGGATCCATGCCCCTGTCTGTCGCTTGCTATGTGCTAAAGATCTACGACTCAGACGTGGATGTGAAGATTCAAGGGGGATGGTATATAATCCTAGAACAGAACAGTCAATAACCTTACCTAAAGTGAGAACAAGAAGGGTTGATGTGAGAACCTATTTTGGGTTTGATCCAATGAACAAACAATTCAAGGTTTTGTGCATGAAGATTTGTAGAAATTCTTGTAAAAAAGATGTCGAAGAGTATCAAGTTCAAACATTAGGAACAGAGGAGAAACAGTCATGGAGAATGATTGAATGTTCCCTACCCCATTATCACTACGAGAAAAATATCCCATGACTCGAACAACTATTTCCCGATTCATGATGAGTAGTATTGTAATGATCTTCCCTACGAAAATACTACATATAATAGTTTGATAGAAATCATCTATTAAATACATGTATTTTCGCAGTTTCAGTATCGAGATATTTTTTGTTCGCAAACCTCTTACAGGGACAAAATTTTTTACCATTTTCCATTGCCCGTTGTTGGTTGGTTTGGCGAATGAATAATCTAGTGTTTTCAACACATAAAGGTGTTTCCACCATGAGAAAAAAACAGCAGAAGAAGAAACCACAAAGCGGATCTTTTTCAACGACATCAGTTGATAACTCACTCCCAACGGATCTCATCATTGAGAAATTTTCGAGATTACCATCAAAATAAATTTTCGAGATCTCAACAACAGCGTCTCAAAGCAATGGACTTTTATTCTCGACCATCCAGATTTCACTGATCATTTCTTGATGATGTCTTCGTCCCGTCCTTGTCTCTTGTTTGCTTTCAAAGTCGGTGGCAAGTAACTATTCTTCGCCACAAATAAGCCTCTAAATCCATACTAGAACTCATTTCTTTTAACCGTCGATCGTCACATGTGTTCCCCAACCATAACATGTTCCCTTCGGACCCATGCCCCTGTGTGTGGCTTGCTTTGTACTAAAGATCTATGGTTCAGACGTGGATGTGAAGATTCAAGGGGTCTGGTATATAATCCTACAACAGAATAGTCCATCACCTTACCTAAAGTGAGAACAAGAAGGGTTGATGTGAGAACCTATTTTGGGTTTGATCCAATGAACAAACAATTCAAGGTTTGTGCATAAAGATTTGTAGAAATTCTCGTAAAGAAGCTGTCGAAGAGTATCTAGTACTAACATCAAGAAAAAAGGAGAAACAGTCTTGGAGAATGATTGAATGTTCCCTACCCCATTATCACTACAAGAAAAATACCCGTTTTGCGACGGAAAATGCAATCGCAGTATCGTCGCATATCGACATTTGCAAGGGAATTGCGAGAAAACAGCTTTCGTCGCAAATCTTTCGCCACAATCATATTTTCCTCGCAAATCCGTCGCAAGCTTGCGAAGAAATTGATTACATCACAATATTGCGACGAAAATAATTCCCTCGCAAACTTGCGATCGATGATATTCCGTCGAAAATATTCCATCTCAAACTTGCGAGGGAACGTTTTCCGTCGCAAATTACTTGAATTTGTAACCATATCATGAAGCCTATTTTCTTGATGATATCCTCCATCATTTCCCAATATATCTCGATGACTATAATTCTAGCTAGCGATAAAATTATGTTTCTCAACCCCATGAGTTGAAGAACTATTTTCCGCTTCATGATGAGTAGTATTGTAATGATTTTCCCTATGAAAATACTACATATAATAGTTTGATAGAAATCCTCTATTAAATACATGTATTTTCGCAGTTTCAATATCGAGATAATTTTTTTCGCAAACTTCTCACAGGGACAAAATATTTAACCATTTTCCATTGCCCGTTGTTGATTGGTTTGGCGAATCAAGAATCTAGTGTTTTCAACACATAAAGGTGTTTCCACCATGAGAAAAAACGGCAGAAGAAGGAAAAGAAACAACAAAGTGGATCTTCTTCAACATCGGTTGATCACTCACTCCCAACGGATCTCATCATCGAGAAATTTTTGAGATTACCATCAAAATCAATAGTAATGTTTCACAGCGTCTCAAAGCAATGGACTTTTATTCTCGACCGTCCAGATTTCACCGATCATTTCTTGAAGATGTCTTCGTCCCGTCCTCGTCTCTTATTTGCTTTCAAAGTCGGTGTTAAATGGCTCTTCTTCGCCACACATTAGCCTCTAAATCCATACCAGAAGTCATCTCTTTTAACCGTCGATCGTCACATGTGTTCCCCAACCATATTCCTTTCAGATCCATGCCCCTGTCTGTGGGTTGATATGTGCTAAAGATCTATGGCTCGAACGTGGATGTGAAGATCCAAGGGGGATGGTATATAATCCTAGAACAGAACAGTCCATAACCTTACCTAAAGTGAGAACAAGAAGGGTTGATGTGAGAACCAATTTTGGATTTGATCCAATGAACAAACAGTTCAAGGTCTTATGCATGACGGTTTGTAGAAATTCTCGTAAAGAAACTGTCGAAGAGTATCAAATTCTAACATTAGAAACAGAGAAGAAACAGTCATGGAAAATGATTAAATGTTCCCTACCCCATGATTACTAAAAGAAAAATACATGTTTTGCGACGGAAAATTCAATCGCAGTTCTGTCGCAAATCGAAAATCGACATTTGCGACGGAATTGCGAGAAAACAGCTTCTGTCGCCAATCAGTATTTGCGACGGAGAAAACATCTTCCGTTGCAAATGTTTCGTCGCAATCATATTTCCCTCAGAAATCCGTCGCAAGGTTGCAACATAATTAATTTCATTGCAATAATGCGACGAAAAGTACTCCCTCGCAAACTTGCCAGGGAACGTTTTCCGTTGCAAAATTGCGACGATGAATATTACGTCGCAAACTTGCATTTGTAACCATATAATAAAACCTAATTTCTTGCTGATACCTTCCATTATTTCGCAATATCTTAATAACTATAATTATAATTAGCGATATTATTATATTTCTCAATCCTATGACTCGAACAACTATTTCTCGCTTCATGATGAGTAGTATTATAATTATCTTCCCCATGAAAATACTATACATAATAGTTTGATAGAAATCCTCTATTAAATACATGTGTTTTCGCAGTTTCAATATCGATATATTTTTTGTTCGCATCGTTCTTACAAGGACAAAATATTTTACCATTTTTCATTACCCGTTGTTGGTTTGGCGAATCAAGAAAAAACGGCAAAAGAAGGAGAATAAACCACAAAGTGGATCTTCTTCAATGACATCAGTTGATAACTTACTTCCAACGGATCTTATCATTGAGAAATTCTTGAGATTACCAGCAAAATCAATAACAAGGTTTCAGTGCGTCTCAAAGCAATGGACTTCTATTCTTGACCGTCCAGATTTCACCTATTATTTCTTGAAGATGTCTTCGTCCCGTCCTTGTCTCTTGTTTGCTTTCAAAGTCGGTGGCAAGTGGCTATTCTTCGCCACAAATAAGCCTCTAAATCCATACTAGAACTCATCTCTTTTAACTGTTGATCGTCACATGTGTTCCCCAACCATAACATGTTCCTTTCAGATCCATGCCCCTGTTTGTGGCTTGCTATATGCTAAAGATCTATGGCTCGAACGTGGATGTGAAGATCCCAGGGGGATGATATATAATCCTAGAACAGAACAGTCCATAACCTTACCTAAAGTGAGAACAAGAAGGGTTGATGTGAGAACCTATTTTGGATTTGATCCAATGAACAAACAGTTCAAGGTCTTGTGCATGACGGTTTGTAGAAATTCTCGTAAAGAAGTTGTTGAAGAGTATCAAGTTCTAACATTAGGAGCAGAGGAGAAACAGTCATGGAGAATGATTGCATATTCCGTACCCCATGATCACTACAAGAAAATACACGTTTTGCGACAGAAAATTCAAGCGCAATTCCGTTGCGAATCGCAATTCAATGGATAATATTTCGTCGCAAATATTCTGTCGCAAACTTGAGAGGGAACGTTTTCTGTCGCAAACTTGCATTTGTAACAATATCATGAAACATATTTTCTTGTTGACACCCTCAATCATTTAACAATATATCTTGATGACTATTATTATAGCTAGCAATATAATTATGTTGTCAACCCAATGACTCGAACAACTATTTCTTGCTTCATGATGAGTAGTATTATAATGATCTTCCCCATGAAAATACTACCACTACAAGAAAGAAGGCTTCTGCCGTCGTTTATTTGAGTAGTTAACGTCAGTACTAAACTGAAGCTAACATATATGCGTCATTTCATAAAACGTCGTAATATCGCATGACGTTAAGTTTCTTTGTGTCGTTTAAATAAATGACGTCAAGTTTAACATCAGATATCTAACGTCGGTTTCGATTGTTTGTAGCGTCAGTTTGATCTTGACTTAAAAATTAAAGCTTAGAGTCAATTATTGAACCGACGCAAGTATGCAACATTTTTCTCAATATATATTAATTATTTCTAATTGCAGTAAGAAATTATAAAAATCTGATTCGATTAAAATATAAAAAAAAACTGATTACATATAATCATTCCATTGATCAAAATTCATATGTTCTACACAAAATGTAAATTTCTCTTAGTAAATATAAACATTAGCAACTGCTCAGTTCATGATATGCAGCAATCGTTCATTTCCAATGTTTCTCACATTCTTCAGATTGGAGCTATTACTGCTCTTCAAAGCCTTTCATACTGCAGCTTTTGTACCATAAATTACTTGAATTCAAACAAAAATTACACAGTAAAAATTATCTAGAGACCAAAACATTAGATTGACACAGATGAAGTCTTAAGGTTGTTCATACTTTAAAACAACAGAAGCATTAAGGTTGTTGCAGACATTTTGGGAGTCTCATGTAGCAAACCTGTCACAAAAGCATGTGCATTAAATACACCTAGAACAAAATCACAGAAGAATACAATACCAAAGAAGGTATGTTGTATCTTCTATAAGTATGAAAAATCAGTCTTTAATCTTGTCATTGAAGTAGATAATGAACATAGTTGTTGTGTTTGCTTTGCATTACGTTGAGTTTCAATGAAGGGTCTTTAATTTGCGTACATAGTTTCACTTCCACAAACTCGTCATATTCTCTAATCCACTATAACAATCTGAAAATCAATCATTTGGAACTATGAATGAAACATTAGAACTATGAGATTGCATCATACAGAGACAATCCTTCATTTAACCTTGTCATAAGAATATTGAAAAAAATATTATCAGAATACCAAGCTTAACGCAGTTGTTACCTGAGAAGGGGTACAATTTGGTCTGCATATAGTTAACAAAAACTCCTTTAGTCTAATACTCTCGAAGATATGTGCTTTGTGATTCATATAACCAAGTATCAAAATAGTCAAAGACGTATTAGATTGCTTCCCTCAATTAGGTAAAGATTAGATTTCGACTTGGCAGAGCAAAACCAAATTCTCTCCAGCAAACAAGAGGAATTGGAACTTTTATCATATGAACTGCATGAGATATAATGTCGAATGGACAACAATGACAACATATAAGTTTCGCACTTCATTTTCTAACAGAGAAGATAAAGCAAATACTCAAATGGGGATTGATAACAATACTCAATTTTTTTAATCCTTCATGTGAGTGGTTTACCTCATGTGATATATGGCATTTTCAGAGAAAAGTCAGATTCTCTTTCACCTTTCTTCGTTACTTTCTTGGCAATGCAACCCACATCAACCAAAAATATCTTGTTAAATAAACACACAACATTTCTTCTACGCAAGAATAGAAACGAGAACACTAGTGAGAGATTCATATATCTAGGTTTCAAATGAAACATGTGCAGAAGTTAAAAATGTCAGTCAAGCACGCCATAAACAACATACATATCGTTTACCAAATTGCACAGAAATGTATAGACAAATTGAAATTTAATGTTGAATTACCTTGAACTCAACTTGTGCTTTCCAAACTTTCAGCTTTGATCACCGCTGAAAATCCTACGACGAAAATGATATCTTTCGCTTGATTAGTAAATCAGCCATCAAAGATCAATTCCAACATATTTTTTTCAATGAAACATGAAATCTGGTCAAAATTTTCCCTTCAGCATATCAAATCCGGAATTTGAGATTCATCAATAAACCATAACCAGAAATTCACCAAAATATGTCGCATTCTAAAATGAAATTGTAAATTCTAATTCAAAGCAAGCTAATAGATCAATGGTAACCAAATCACAAGAGATTCTACCATACTAACAGAACTGATTTCGGGCGATTAGAGAAGATAAAACTCAAAAACATAGGAAGGAAAAATCCAGAATCGAGCAATCGTACCGTAATAGGAACTGAATTCCGATAAAGATCGACATCGGAGACGAATAGATTTTCACGGAATCAAAGATGCATAAATTAATCAGAGACATAATCAATTTGAGTCTGGAGTTTTTCAGAGATCGACATCTCGAGCGAACAAGGGGGGTCACAAAATGAGAAATACTTTTTTGAAGGACGTGATTAATTATTAAACATAGATATTACCGTCGGTTATACCAATGACACTAATTTCCTTCCCATTTTGACTTTTCAAGTCAATTGTGGTTCCAACGTTAATAAAGCGACGTCTTCGATAACATTTCTTGTAGTGTACACATAATAGTTTTGATAGAAATCCTCTATTAAATACATGTCTTTTCGCATTTTCAATATCGAGATATTTTTTGTTCGCACACTTTTTAAGGGACAATATTTTATCATTTTCCATTGCCCATTGTTGGTTTTACGAATCAAGAATCTAGCGTTTTCAACCCATAAAAGTGTTTCCACCATGAGAACAAAAAAAAGGCACAAGAAGGAGAAGAAACCACAAAGTGGATCTTCTTCAACGACATCAGTTGATAACTCAGTCCCAACGGATCTCATCATTGAGAAATTTTTGAGATTAGCAATAATTGCAATGTTTCACAGAGTTTCAAAGCAATGGACTTTTATTGTCGACCGTCCAGATTTCTCCTCAGATAATATTCTTCAAATCAAGGCATTTCTCGCAGATAAAAAAACAAGAAAACTTTTGACGAGTCAAGAAAAAAAATGATAACAAATGTTTTTGGCAAATCAAAAATCTAGTGTTTTCAATTCATGAGAAAAAAGTCGATCTTCTTCAACGACATCATTTAATGAATCACTCCCAAAATATCTCATCATTGAAATATTTCTAAGATTACCAGCAAAATTAATAGCAAGGTTTCACTGCATGTTAAAGCAATGGACTACTATTCTCGACCGTCCAGATTTCACCGATCATTTCTTGAAGATGTGTTCTTCCCGTCCTCGTCTCTTTTTCTTTTAAAGTTGGTGGCAAGTGGCGCTTCTTCTCCACACCTCAGCCTCTAAATCCAGACTAAAACTCATCTCCTTTAACTGTCGATCGTCACTTGTGTTTCCCAACCATAACATGTTCCCTTCGGATCCATGCCCCTGTCTGTAGCATGCTCTTTGCTAAAGATCTATTACTCGGACGTGGATGTGAAGATCCAAAGGGGATGGTATATAATCCTAGCACAGAACAATCCATAACTTTACCTAAAGTGGGACCAAAAAGGGTTGATGTGAGAACCTATTTTGGGTTTGATCCAATGAACAAACAATTCAAGGTTTTGTGCATGAAGCTTTGTAGAAATTCTCGTAAAGAAGCTGTCGAAGAGTATCAAGTTTTAACATTAGGAACATAGGAGAAACAGTCATGGAGAATGATTGAATGTTCCCTAACCCATTATCACTACAAGTAAAATACCCGTTTTGCGACGGAAAATTCCATCACAGAACGTCGCATATCGACATTTGCGACGGAATTGTGAGAAAACAACTTTCGTCACAAATCTGTCATCACTATCTTATTTTTCTCGTAAATCCGTCGCAAGCTTCCGACGAAATTGATTCAATCCCAATATTGTGACAAAAAGAATCTCCTCGCAAACTTGCGATTGATAATATTCCGTCGCAAATATTCCATTGCAAACTTGCGAGGGAACGTTTTCCATCGCAAAATTGTGACGACGACTATTCCGTCGCAGACTTGCATTTGTAACCATATCATGAAACCTATTTTCTTGCTGCTATCCTCCATCATTTCCCAATATATCCTGATGACTATAATTATAGCTAGCCCCATGACTCGGACAACTATTTTCCGCTTCATGATGAGTAGTATTGTATTGATCTTCCCTATGAAAATACTACATATAATAGTTTGATAGAAATCCCTATTAAATACATGTATTTTCACAGTTTCAATATCGAGATATTTTTTGGTTGCAAACTTCTTACATGGACAAAATATTTTACCATTTTCCATTGCCCGTTGTTGGTTGGTTTGGTGAATCAAGAATCTAGTGTTTTCAACACATAAAGGTGTTTCCACCATAAGAAAAAAAAGGCAGAAGAAGGAGAAGAAATCACAAATTCGATGTTCTTCAACGACATATGTTTATAACTAACTCTCAACGGATCTCATCATTTAGAAATTCTCGAGATTACTAGCAAAATCAATAACAAGGTTTCACTGTGTCTCAAAGCTTCTCGACTGTTCAGATTTCACCTATTATTTCTTGAAGATGTCTTCGTCCCGTCCTTGTCTCTTGTTTGCTTTCAAAGTCGGTGGCAAGTGGCTCTTCTTCTCCACACATCAGCCTCGAAATCATACCAGAACTCATATCCTATAAACGTCGATCGTCACATGTGTTCCCCAACCATAACATGTTCCTTTCATATCCATGCCCCTGTCTGTGGCTTCCTATGTGCTAAAGATCTATGGCTTGAACGTGGATGTGAAGATCCAAGGGGGATGGTATATAATTCTAGAACAGAACAGTTCATAACCTTACCTAAAGTGAGAACAAGAAGGGTTGATGTGAGAACCTATTTTGGGTTTGATCCAATGAACAAACATTTAAAGGTGTTGTGCATGACGGTTTGTAGAAATTCTCGTAAAGAAGTTGTCGAAGAGTATCAAGTGCTAACATTAGGAGCAGAGGAGAAACAGTCATGGAGAATGATTGAATATTTCGTACCCCATGATCACTACAAGAAAATACACGTTTTGCGACAGAAAATTCAAGCGCAATTTCGTTGCAAATCGCAATTCAATGGATAATATTCCGTCGCAAATATTCCATCGGAAACTTGAGAGGGAACTTTTTGTCGCAAACTTGCATTTGTAACAATATCATGAAACCTATTTTCTTGTTGACACCCTCCAACATTTAACAATATATCTTGATGATTATTATTATAGCTAGCGATATAATTATCTCTCTCAACCCAATGACTCGAACAACTATTTCCTGCTTCATGATGAGTAGTATTATAATGATCTTCCCCACGAAAATAGTACACATAATAGTTTGATAGAAATCCTCTATTAAATACATGTCTTTTCGCAGTTTCAATATCGAGATATTTTTTGTTCGCAAACTTTTTAGAGGGACAAAATATTTTACCATTTTCCATTGCCCATTGTTGGTTTTGCGAATCAAGAATCTAGTGTTTTCAACACATAAAGAAGTTTCCACCACGAGAAAAAAAAAGGTAGAAGAAGGAGAAGAAACCACAAAGTGGATCTTCTTCAACGACATTTGTTGATAACTCAGTCCCAATGTATCTCATCATTGAGAAATTTTCGAAATTACCATAAAAATCAATCCATATTTCACCGATCATTTCTTGAAGATGCTTTCGTCCAGTCCTCGTCCCTTGTTGCTTTCAACGTCGGTGGCAAGTGGCTCTTCTTATCCACACATCAGGCTCTAAATCCATACCAGAACTCATATCCTTTAAACGTTGATCGTCACATGTGTTCCCCAAGCATAACATGTTTCCTTCAGATCCATTCCTCTATATGTGGCTTGCTTCGTGCAAAAGATATATGGCTCGGACGTGGATGTAAAGATCCAAGGGGGATGGTATATAATTTTAAAACAGAACAGTCCATAAACTTACCTAAAATGAGAACAAGAAGGGTTGATGTGAGAACTTAATTTGGGTTTGATCCAATGAACAAACATCATGGTCATGTGCATGACGGTTTGTAGAAAATCTCATATAGAAGTTGTGGAAGAGTACCAAAATCTAACATTAGGAACAAAGGAGAAACAATCATGGAGAATAATTGATCACGAACTACTACAATCCTACATGGATTCTCACCATTACAATCCTCAACAGTTTTTAAGTGCGAGCTATACAAATTTGGTCGTAAGTCATTGTTTCGACCTGTAACTTACTAATAGATAAGACTGCGGCAAAAACTGAAACAAGACATCTAAACCCAGTAATATCAAACCGCCTATAGGCAACACTGATCTTCTATGCCACTCGACTCAGTAACTTCAACCCGTAGAGATATCCAAGTGCGAGTTTGCAGGAACAACCAAAGTAATGCATAAAAAACCCAGCAACAGCTCATATTCGCGAGTCTTTAACGCCTCTTGGTTCAACGTAACGTACTATGTACTTGGCATTATCAGCTAGTCCATTTACTTCACTATCCTTCTACATCTTATGACTTAACCATTATTTTGGTTCGTAAAAAAATCGCACAAGAAAATTCAAGAAATCCAAAAAACGCATCATAATCGAGCTGATCTGAGGGTGAGCCAAAGAACAGATCGACAACTTTCCCTTCGTAAAGATTGCGAGCATTATCTTTACCGATCTGAAACTCCATCTTTCCTGCATCGACGAATCATTTAGCTCAACAAGAGGAAAAACCTTCGCTATAAAATTTCACTAACTCGTGGTCTAAAAGTTATATGGCGAACCAATTAGCGTCAAGACAAAAGGAAGCAGGGGGACAGCTTGGCTGAAGAACATACCTTGCTTGGCTTGCTGATAACATGATGGGCTCATTCGGCTCCGAAAAATTGATCAATAATGTTTCCTAAATGACTAACAAAATAAATGCAAGCTGAACCCTGACGAACAAAACATCAAACCACCTAGTTGGCTCGGTAAGTGCACGCTACGCGACAACAAGCGAAACCAATTTCGGCTCGTCAACAAAAGGCGACAAGCCAGCAAAACGGCGAGCCAATTAAGCTGACAACCCAATCTTATGGCATGTCAGACGTCGGATCCGCAAAATAGCGAACCCATTGATTTGACATCAAACTGTTATCAAACACACTCATTGGTTTCACATTAAAAAAATGTTGCGAGCCGACCAATGATCAAGAAGATGACGAGACGACGATGATCAAGATGATGACGAGCCGACAAAACAATGAGCCAGCTTTATGGAATACCAATCATCATTTCAACCAGGTGAAATCAAAAGGATTGACCTAGATTTAGCCGTAATGATGCATCCCACAATATATTGTTTGGCTCGACACAAGAGAAAGAAGGCACGATCTAAATCATAGCTCGTTCGTGTGGTCACGATTCCGTCAATGAAGACCCTTGAAAAGTGACAAATAACACCAATTCAAATAAGATCCTTGGTTTGGCGGGAACCTAACTGGTAGAAACGGTGAGACGTTTTTAAGGCATAACAGGGCATGCAAAGTGCCGCTTCTACCCAGATTGTGCAATGGCGAGTAAACTTTCACTTCTAAGGCAAGCCAATTTTCATTCAAATGGCGAGTCAAATTTAACTCCGAAGGCCAGCCAAATTTCTTTCAAATGGCGAGCCAATGTTCATTCAAACTGCAAGCCATCTTTCATTAAAGTGGTGAGCCAATGATCGTGAAGACGAGAAGTTTACGAGTCATTTGGCGCAAATCCAAATGTGCCCTCGGCAGAGGATAACCAAACCGCCTTGCTTCAGTGGATGACTTTCCATCCAAATGATAAGATCGACCCGTTAACTCTTAACTCGTCACTCTTATTCATAAGACTAACGATCTGGGGGCAAATTATAGGGGTCGGTTTTCACCCTCAGATATCATCATTCGGACCAGCCATGACCGAAGGAGAGCCGTACATAAATGTTGGTTAACACGCTCGCCATACCAGAAAACCGAGCTGAACCGTTGGTGAACTGGAGTCTGCGCATACCAATAGCCAAACAAGAAAGCGAAAGGCTATTCATAACGTTTGGTGGGCTGAACCAACATCTAGCAAGACGATTTGAGCCAAGACCCACCAAGGACGGCCCAATTTCATGATTTTCCCTAGCCGAAGGCGGCGGGAAGAAATATGGAAGAAAATCTCCAAGAATATTTACAAGATCTATGTTAAGTCGGCTCCCATATTCTTATAAATTGGGGTACACATTTTTTTTTTATAACCGTGGGTGATCCAAAGGCTTTCTAGGCCCAAGACTAATCCCACGAGGCCCACGGCAGTCCACGTTTTCTTACCATTTAAGGCAGCCCAGGTGGCCGGGGACTCGAACTCGTGATGGCGGGCACCTCAGCTGAGGCTCCATTACCACCAGACCACGAGGACCCGGTTATATTAGGGTACACATTCATAATTTGAGGCATTACTTTTTACCCTAGAAAAGGCGTACACCATACGCTTTGTAGCTTGCCGAAATAGTTATCAATAATACCATAGTTGGACCTTTGTCTTAGTGTTTTACCCCCCCCCCCCTGAAGTTCCTCCCAAACTCATTACAAAGTCTATTGTGCGGATTCCGGTTCCCACAATTAATAGTGTATTTTATTGATGATATATAAATTATATAATTCACAGGAAATAAATTTTTGGATTTCAGATGATTTAAGAATGGTGCTTGAGTTTTCGACATGCAGATGGCTGATATCTCAAAAAATGTTTACGCTTTTCACACTATGAAATATTATATCTACCTGTAAACGCCATGACAATATTAACTGAAGCTGATGGGATCTATATTGGTCTTATTCTTAATTTAAATTTCAGTTTATAAATTAAATAAAAGTAATTATTAATATAATTTGTTATGTTTTAAATGAGTATTTTAATTATAATTTGATGTTAAAATATTGATGTGAACAGTTTAGGAGGACAGAAAACTCTCACAATACATATATATAAAATTTGGGAACTTTTTTATGGAATAAATTTGGCACTTTAGATTATAATGAGATCATTTTAGTTTAATCATTAAAGATGATAGAGGTTTTTATCTTTTTGATGATAAATTTGGGGATAAACTTAACTTCTTAACTAGAAAATGAAAAAGGCCAATCGTTCTTCTCTCCTCTAAACTCTCTCCCTTCTGTCTAACTTCTCTATCTCAGTCGCTCTCCTCTCCGGTTTCCAGCGGCGCTTTGTCGAGAGAGAGGTCCGTTTCCTTTTCTTTTCCTTTTTTCTTTTTCTGGCTCGGTGTTTCTCTTCGTGGTTAGTGGTCTGTTTCGTAGCGATTTGGTGGCGGTTGAACTGTGGTGATTGATGAGTAAGCCTACTGCTCTGAGGACGGTGGTGGGTCTCGAAAGGAATCCTGGCGGCGGATGAATACGGCAACAAAAGTTTGGGTTTGGCTTGAGGCGTGGTACGGACTTTCCTCCCACTCTCGTCAGCTCTTTGCGACATTGGCATCGTTTTCTCCATTTCTCCTTCTACAAAGCTCTCTGGCATTTTCTCCTTGTGATGTCGTTGGAGTGAGCTGACCGATGGTGTGGTCTTTTCTCCCACATCAGGTTTTCTTCAGGCGGTTTTCGGCTACTCTACTAGTCGGTGGCAACTTCGTGGTGGCTTTTGGCTTCAGCGACTTCGGTTTTCAGGCTCTGCGGCCGTTTTGACCAATGATTTTTTAGTTATGAGTAGCTTTTTTTTGGCTTTTCTTTTTTTGGTTTGGGCTTCTAATCAGGCCCATTAGTTTAAAGTTCTTTATTGACTTTTAGTTTATTGTCATGTATCTTGTAAGTCAAAAATTCCATTTCATCTAAATATCAAGATCTTTTAACACAAAAAAAAAAAAAACTTAAGTTAATGCTAAATTTGGACAACACAAGATGGGAGTAAGAGCTCTATGAGTTTGTTGTTGAGGACCTGAGGTTATTTTTTAGTTCACAATAGAAAGTGACATCATCAACATCATAGATTCATGATTATGACAGATAAGAAGTACTTTAGAGCATCTTCAATGATTAATTGCATTTTTTCATTCTAAAATGGTGCTAAATGTTTCTATTATATCACGTGTATAATCGTACATTGCATATATAAGAGATATAATATCAAAACGTTTGACGAGTATACGGCCTAAACTAATATACTGATTTGAAATTAAATTCGAGAGAAAATATCATCAAGAATTGCAGCAATACTCTTATAGTACTCCAATACTTTACTTTCATCTCCATCTCTTGCTGCATAATCCATCTGCATTCTTTCAATAAAAACAAAGTAAGAAATGAACTGGGTATTAGTATATAGTGTAATGAAAAAGAAAAGAAAAAACAAATGTACCTTGGTGATTGTATTGAAGAGAGACGAATAGAGAGACCTAAGAAGAGGTCTATCTTTGGGAGGCTTTGCTTGGGTGATTAAATACAAATCTTGCTTCATGTTTGATGCACTTCTTCTTAACTCTTTTCCTCCTTCTTTCCACCTCTTATTTTCTATCATCATCTCTTTTATTTCTTTTATATTTTCTGCGTTTTTCTTTAATCCTTCCTATCAACAGTAATTACAAGGGTTTATCTAATAGAAGGCAAAAAAATTGACCAAAATTGGCAAAACAAAACACAGTGGCAAAATCATAAATAAGAAATGTGTATTTTGGCATGTGAGTGTGATATTATGTAGAATGCTATTAAAAACCTAATATTTGCTAAAAACTTGTGTGAAATTCATGTTATTTTTAAAAAAATACCATGGTAAATTTCACTAATTTGTTTACCATTTTGACATCCATCGTTTTTGCAAATAAAAAGATAACATTTGGCTATCTAGTGCATATTACATTAAAATTTCACATTTCTAGTTTCTTTTTTTCTTTGTAGGGGATGTATTGAATTTGGGATTTAAGGTGATTTTGATTGATCTGATTTAAAATGTCAAATCCTCGGTTATTCAAACATGATTTTTAAATAGTAGTTTGAAATCCAGTGTTATTGAACTTGTGATTTTAAACTGCACTTTAAATGTCACTTTAAATGTCAGTGTTATTGAAAATAATTTATGTGATTTCAAGTGATTTTATAATTATTTGGTGGAATTTTCTTGTTAAAAATATGATAATCCAAATCTCATGGTTTTAGGTGGGATTCTAAAGTGATTTTATTAAAATCATAACAACTTCTGTAAAACCATCCAAAATCATCTAGAAATAAAATCACTCCAAATCATTTTAAATCCCAAGTTCAATACATCCCCTATGTGTCCATTGTAGTTGTTGATACATAGAGTTTCCCACAATCTTACTTCGAATATATGAACATGTGACTAAGAAAACCCAAATATACCATACCTATTAATTGTTTGCACACAAACAAATCGAAGTGTTAAAACCCAAAACCGAAAAAAAAAAAGTTGCTAAAACTAGTAGTGTGTAAATAAATAGTATATAATCACTTTATGTAACTTCTGCCAAGGTTTTCTTGTAAATTAATCAAAATCCGAATCATCTTGAAAACCACAAAATTGTGCGGTCTAGACGACTGCGGTCTAGTTGATTTTCCAACTCATGGCAACAAATTATCATGGCGGGGAAAGAGATGGGGAAAAATTGTACGGTGCCGTTTAGATAGGGCTTTGGCCACAGAGGATTGGCATGACCTCTTTCCCAAGTCACATGTGGAATATCTAAAAATGGTAGGATCGGATCACCGACCGATCCTGGCAACCATAGATAATAAGATCCCTAAAGCGCGGCGGCAATTCCGATTTGATAAACGATGGATTGGACAAGATGGATTTTCGGAGGCGATTAAACGAGGTTGGTTGGAGAATCAAACAAATGCGGAATCAAATGTAGTGGATATGATCCGTAAATGCCGTCATGAAATTTCTCGATGGCGGCACGAAAATAAACCATATGGAAAGGAAAAAATAGCGGAACTACAGAAAGCTCTTGAAGAAATTCAAAATGATGATCTTCGAACCCAGGAAGATCTGGATGAAATCACACAAAAATTGAAGGAAGCTTACCGAGATGAGGAACAATACTGGAAGCAAAAAAGCCGTAATCTCTGGCTTAAGGATGGGGATTTAAATACAAAATTTTATCATGCAACCACGAAACAGAGAAGAGCGATAAACAGGATGGTCGGTTTACATGATAAGACGGATAACTGGGTTACCGGGGAAAAAGAGATGGAAAAGGTGGCGGTTGATTATTTCTCGGATTTATTTACGACTACTTCCCCAGATGATTTCACGGACATACTTGAAGGTATTCCAGCGGTGATCACGGAAACCGATAATGCACTGCTAATGCGCCCAGCGTCGGAAGAGGAAGTGCGGGCGGCTCTGTTTCTGATGAACCCGGAGAAAGCTCCCGGACCGGACGGGATGACGGCCTTATTTTTTCAAAAATCATGGCCGTTAATAAAAACGGATATTTTGGGGCTTATTAATGATTTCTTGATAACGGGAGCCTTTGATGACAGATTAAATTTGACGAACATCTGCTTAATCCCAAAGACAGAGCGTCCTACCCGGATGACGGAACTGCGCCCAATTAGTCTATGTAATGTGGGCTATAAAATTATCTCTAAAGTATTATGTGAGAGGTTGAAAACGGTACTATCCCAGCTAATTTCGGAGACCCAGTCAGCTTTTGTCCCAGGGAGACTGATCTCGGACAATATTCTGATAGCACAAGAAATGTTTCATGGCCTAAGGACAAACAAGTCTTGTAAGGGAAAGTATATGGCGGTAAAAACTGATATGAGCAAAGCGTATGATCGAGTTGAGTGGCAATTTGTTGAAGCCACAATGCGGAAGATGGGATTCGGAGAACGATGGATCGGGTGGATCATGAAATGCATAAAGTCGGTTGTGTATAAAGTACTCATCAACGGGCAACCACGGGGAAAAATAACTCCGAATAGGGGCCTACGTCAGGGAGATCCTTTATCTCCCTACATCTTTATTCTCTGTACAGAAGTTTTGATATCAAATCTTAAACGGGCAGAATCTGTTAAATCTCTAACGGGTCTGAAGGTGGCTCGTGCAAGCCCACCAGTATCACATTTACTATTTGCGGATGATAGCTTATTTTTTTGCAAGGCATCGGTTGAGGAGAGTGCAGTTTTACTACAAATTCTTCAGAACTACGAACGGGCATCAGGCCAAAAAATAAATTTTGATAAATCATCTATCCAATTTGGCCATACGGTGGAGACAACGGTACGTGCGGAGATTCATCAGATGTTAGGTATACATAAGGTCGGGGGAGTTGGTAACTATTTAGGTGTCCCAGAGAGCTTGGGGGGTGCCAAAACAAAGATTTTTAGTTTCTTGATCGATAGACAGCAGAAGCGGATAAACGGCTGGACATCTAAGGTTCTATCTAAAGGGGGAAAAGAAGTAATGGTCAAGTCTGTACTTTCGGCGATGCCGACACATGTCATGTCATGTTTTAGATTACCAAAGGGAGTAACAAATAAACTAACAAGTGCGGTAGCAAATTTTTGGTGGAGCACAAATTCCCAAACACGGGGTATGCATTGGCTCGCGTGGCGGAAGCTGTGTCGACATAAAACTGACGGGGGACTGGGATTTAGGGTAATAGAAGATTTTAACACAGCGCTACTCGCAAAACAGTTATGGCGCCTAATGGATAACCCGGATTCCCTGTTTGCTAAAGTTTTCAAGGGGAGATATTTTCGGAACTCAACCCCCTTGGACCCAATTCGCTCTTACTCTCCATCTTATGGATGGCAGAGTATCGTTTCAGCTCGACCTCTGGTATGCAAAGGACTTATTAAAAGAGTTGGTTCAGGTTCATCTATATCTGTATGGTATGACCCCTGGATTTCCGATTCTTGCCCGAGGCCAGCTATCTGTAAAGGAATTAATTACTACCCACACCTCACGGTGAATCAGTTAATTAATTCCCAGACCTCAACGTGGAATCGACCACTATTGCAACAATTTTTTGAGAGTGAGGAAATCACTCGCATTACGGGTATACCAGTGGCTACTGGATATAAACCCGATACCTGGGGCTGGTTTTATACAACAACGGGTCGGTATACGGTTAAATCGGGATATACTGTGCTACAGGAGCTTTCGATGAGGGGACACTACCAGTCTTTGGACCGGACACTCGGAGATTGCAAGCGCAATCCTGGAAGGTTAAATGCACCACAAAACTCCAACATTTTCTCTGGCAAATTATTACCGGATGTTTATCGGTTGGCGCACGTTTATGTAGTCGGGGAATGCGTGTGGACCCACTGTGCGTGAGATGTGGTATGGGAGATGAGACTATCAATCATATGCTCTTTGAGTGTCCCCCGGCCCGACAGGCCTGGGCACTCTCTCCCATACCTACGCCTCCCCAGTTTTTTCCTACGGGAGCACTGTACTCAAATATGGCACATCTATTCTGGAACCTCCCAGACAATGATGACATGTTGATGTATCCATGGTTACTCTGGTTTATTTGGAAAGCTCGTAATTACAAAGTTTTCTCAAATGATGATCAAAATCCGCAGGAAGTAATGGAATCTGCGATAACGGAATCCCGGGCATGGGTAGCAGCACAAACGGTAGCAGACGGAGTATCCAATAGTATCTCCATCAACTCCGGCCACGTCCCACCGGGAGAGTGGTGTCAGATTGATGGAGCGTGGAAAGTGACAGACAGTCGGGCTGGACTTGGATGGTACAATTTTGACCCGGATTCGGGCTCTGTCCTGATGGGGTCTAGCAACCTACGGCGGGGTTTATCTCCTCTTCAAACAGAATTGGAGGCATTGGTTTGGGCTATGCAAAGTATGCTAGTCCATAACAAACGACGGATGAATTTCCAAACAGATAGCGCTCAGTTGGTGAAGATGGTGTCCAAACCTGCCGAGTGGCCAGCTTTTGCGATCTTGCTTGAAGAAGTGGAGCATTGTAGAGGGATGTTCCAGGCGTTCTCCCTCACATACATTCCCAGAACGAAGAACACAAGGGCAGACAAGCTAGCACGGAGTGCTCGAGCTCAGCCCCATGATGTGTATTACATAAACTCAGTTCCCCCGATTCCGCTTCCCGGACCGGTATAGGAATTTAGGCTGTTGACAAAAAAAAAAAAAAAAAAAAAAAACCACAAAATTGTGCATCGAGCATTTGCCATTTGTTCCAAATTTGGTTTGTTCCAAATTTATAACCAAATTTAGTGTTGTAGATAGATTAACACTATAATGAAAACAAAGGGACCAAAGCGTAATTATAACCGAGAGATAAGTGGTTTTTATAGTTAGCAGACCTGAGCAACCTCGACCGAACGTTCTGGTTCGGGTTGTGGCATGATGAAGCTGAAAATGTCAGCAGCGTTTGCAGAGGAAGAGCGTTTGCGATCGAGAAAGAACAGTTGAGGGATAAGTGTTCCTGTGATTGAGAGAAGAACGTCTCTACGTATTCTTCTTGATGAATCATCAACAGAGCGTGTTAAGATAGAATCCGCTGCTTCAATTGGAGGGTTTGGATTGTGTAAGAGAGTGAAATGTAGTGGTGGCTTTGAGAGTGCCATTGTCTTTGTGTTTGAGTGAAGCAGATGAACAAGAAAAGCAAAATCAAGAATGTAAGAAGAGAAGAAGATAATGATGAGGCTAAAATTGTAAAAACAATAAGAAACAACATTTAATGATTTAACGGAATTTGTCCAAAAATGATATTCTAGAAAATTTAATAACAAAAAAAATGATTTGTATGTAGATGAAGTAAATGAAAATGCTCTAAAATTTTATAGATTTTAGTACAATGATGCTTGTAAATTATATGATACCCATCCGTAATCCGTAGTTGCTAGTTACATAACTTACATATTTTCATATGATTTTGTTGTTGTCAACTTATATTAACTCTAAATTATCTACAAATTTAATATTCTTTTACATGAAAGAAAAGACACTTAAATTTCGTCATGGTCACTGTGTTCTCCATCGTCATCATCATTTGGTTTCTCCAAGTTCATCATAAACCTAAGTGAGTCTCCTTCTTCTACTTCCCACTGCTTCTTGAGTGCAATGATCGCTTTTGAAGCAGCCGCTGCAATCGCCGGGTTATTGTCTTCAGCGAGTCTCTGTCACCAATGGACATATAATGGTCAGTCATCAATATTTGCAAGAACGGTTATCATCAAGATTAAGATTTGCAAGAACGGTCATCAATATCAAGATTTGCAAGAATGGTCACCAAGATTTGCAAGAACGGTTATCAGGATTTCAAAAACGGTCATCAAGATTTGCAAGAACATCAAAATTTGCAAGAATGGTCATCAAGATTTGCAAGAATGTTTCAAGAACGGTCATCAAGATCAAGATTTGCAAGAATGGTCACCGAGATTTGCAAGAACGGTCACCGAGATTTGAAAAAACGGTTAACATCAAGATCAAGATTTGCAACGGTCATCAAGATTTGCAAGAATGGTAATCATCAAATTACCTGTAATGCTCCCATGCCTGCATTTCCCAATGTCCACATCGATGGTGCAGCTGCTAAGGCATTAGCCAATGCTTTTCTACACCAAGAAGACAAAAAAACCGAGAGACCCATAATCAAGAACGGCACATTTTGATGATCTAAAGAAAGACTCTTGTCTCGTAAATATAAATCACACTAGTTTTGTAAATGTTCTTGTGCACCAAGAATGGTTTAAGTTTTAACCGTAATCGAATACAGGTGTTTTTACCTTGTATTGACGTCTGGAGAGCTTGAGCATTCAGCCAAGAGAGAAGCACTAGTTTTACCATCCATTGCATCAAGGTCAATCAGAGTTGTCACTAACAACTCGAGCTGTTACAAACCAAACAGAACATAATCTATCAGTGAAAAAGTTCGTATAACAAAGAGATTTAAGTATCATCGCTTATTGACCCAACCTCTTCAGGGTCAGTGTAGTCAATTCCATCGGCTTCTGAGAGTGCTGATGCCATACCTCTGTAAGCTTCCTGTTTCAACATCAAAACGGAATCATCAGAGAGAAGAAAGCTTAAACAACATTTTTCATTTTTCCTTGTGGATCATACCTCAATAGCAGATATGCGGTCAGATGAAACTTCTCCAGGGAAAAAGTCTAGAGCTTTCCCATTCTTCTCAAGCGATATACGGTCTGTGATACCAGTTTCTGATGTAACCCCTCTGAGATTAACATAAAAATGTAAACTTTTAAATCTTGATATCAAGAAACAATATTGAGAAAAGAAGTGTCAAAGACTTATGCTTCTTACAAGCTATCAACCATTTTGTTAACCATCATGTCATGCACATTCTTGATGAACTGCAACCAAAACAGGACAGAGGAAGTGTAACCATAAGGGAAAGATGATTTCAAATCAAAAACATCAAATACTGTAACATATCAGACTTTGTTTTTTACTTCTAAAGCCATTAATGCATCCTCCATTGCCCGTTGTTTAGCGCGGAAATCTGCTCGCCTTAAATCAGCCTAGAAAATCAGAACAAATCTCTTAACCACCAATTCTACACAATAATATATACTTTATGCTCACACAGAAGATGAAACGGCATATACCTCTAAGGCACCGTCGCTCCAATGCTTATCAGCAGCATTTTTCAACTTAGACTGAGCTATGTTCTTTAATATCTATCAACATAAAACCAAACAAGAAAACTAAGATACAAAAAGAACATAGCTAGAAGAACGGTCCATATATGAGTTTCTCTAGATGAGAAGGATAATAAGCATACAGTAGCAATATGATGAAGGCGCTCGGCCTTTCTTTTGACGTCACGGTCTATTTTCTCCGTATCTTCTCTTGCTCGAGCTACATAACCATAAGGCAAGATCAAAATGCAGTAAAAGAAAAGGAAAACCAAATCTTGGATTGATATAAGTATGAATCCATGAAGTGTGAAGAAATGAAAAAGTTAAGCTTTGTACTATATTTCAAACAAACACTTCACTTAAATAACTACCAAAGCATGTCATTATCTCAAATATAGACTCATCCTACAACACACATCCTATATGAAGCAAATGTCTCAGAATGTTCACTTGAACTGATATAGAGTCAAAGAACTTACCATCTAGTTTAAGGAATCCGGAGCCAAGAATCGCAACATCCTGACGTGCACGAGCATCAAGTCTCATAATGCCACTGAAACAGAATTTGGAACATAAATCTCAACACAAAAGGAACCTTCTAAGATGACAAGTAATGTTATGATTGTAAAGACTGTAAAAACATTGGTGTAATGAGAACATACCGGGATAGAAGAACAAAGTCATTACGAGCTCTTTCATTGACAAACTTAGCATCATTAGACACATATTCAACCAAAAACTGGCTTGAACTAGTTGTTCTCCTCGGCATCACTTGCTTCTCACCTTCTTTTTGTGAGCTGAAATATCACCAAAGAAACTAACTTTAATGACTAAAAACCAGTGAAGCAACTGTAAAAGCTGAAAAAAGAAACCGAAAGGACTGAACTTACTTGGGTAAATCAAGACAGTCCTCGTGAGGTTTGGTTTCTGTATCTTGAGATTTCCCAAGAAAGCACAATGTGGAAGATCTACGAGAAGTAGCAAAAGTAACCGGCTTTGTACAACAAAGACCTTGTAGTTCTTCAGCAGATGAGCACTTTTTGGGAGCAAACGCTAGCAAAACTCTTTGAGATCTTGAGGTGTTTACATTAACCCTCTTCGCTAATACAGGACCATTAGGAACCACTTTGCTAACGTTTAGAGCCATTTGGGATGATAAAACCTACAATTTTCTGTAGATGCAGAAAAAAACAAAACCTTGTTAATAAAGAACTGGACTTGAGGATCAAATTCACAATTGATTCACATAAAGTCATCAAATTTATGAAATTCTAAAGTATCCATTGGAGAAGACAGAGAAACAAAGTAAGCAGATTTGAAATCAATTCGATTCTAGGAAGATAAAAAACAGACAATTTAAGAGAGTTTACCACTTGAATAAAACTCAAATTCTTGATTCCAAAGCAAAATTAAGACAAACCCATAATGCAAAAATCTATCATTTACGAAAAGGAACAGGGTTTAGGAGAATTAAACAAATTTAAATGGTAAAGTATCCATCGGAGAAGACAGAGCAAACAAAGCAAGCAGCTTTGAGATAACTTCGAAATCTATCCGGTATAACAGAGAGATTATTACCGGTTTAATAAACAAAAATTCTTGATTCCAGAGCAAATCTAGGAAAAACCCACCAAGAGAAAATCTATCATTTACGATAAGGAATCGGAAAGATGGAATTTTGAAGCAACACGGAGTAGAGAGAGAGAGAGAGAGAGACTAACCTTGTGAAATAGATGAGGAAGAAGAGAAAATCCAAAGAGGAGGAAGAAGATGACAGAGATTGGGGAAAGATTGTAACCACAAGGGTTACTTGTGGCCCAGTGTGAGCCAACCATGCCGTACGTAGGTTTCTATTTACACTCTCTGGTCCTTGTTAAGTGTTGGGTCCCACTCTTTCCACATTTTAAGATTTTTGGTTTCTTTTCTAGTTTGTATCCACAGTAAACACGAGTGTGGGACCTACTACTCTGTTCGGTCGGAAACGGAATAGGCCGGTTTGATGTCATAAATTTGTAATCAATCAGAGTAATCCGTTTTTTTTCTTTAAAATATACCGTTTTTGTTACAACTAAATTATAGAAGTGATAATTAGCGATTTAGCGGTACTGAAACTTGAAAGCACTAATCTGGTTGGAATGTGGAGTTTGAGAAACCACTCAACGTGATCATGGTAGACATGGTAATTATAATTCATCGTATTGCAATTAACTCCATCTCTTTCACAAAGAGTATCATTTTAGAGTTTTATTTTAGTTTTATAAAAAATGTCATTTTACATTTTCAATGCAATTTTATTAATAAAAATTCAGTTTTAACCTTGTTGTATTAATTTATTAATTAGAAAAAGAGTATCATTTAGTGTATTTATAATAGGTAAAATAAAGTTTGTATTGATTTCTTTATACTGCATATGTTTCACAACAAATGTCGTTTTAAACTTATTTTTTTGTTTTAAAATAAGTGTCGTTTTAAGTTTCCAATACATAATTATCTAAAAAATTCCAGTTTTAACCCCATTCATTTAATCAATTAACAAATGAATTAAATCATTTAGTTTATTAATTAAGGGTATTAACAAATGAATGAAAACGCAAATCTCGAAGGTAGTTTAGTGTTCGTTTTTAACATCGTTTCTGAAAAGTCGGTGATCAAATATCTATTATTAATTATACAAAGAAATAAAACAAAAAAGTAGAAAATATGATTGTTTGTCAAACTATACAAATAAATATCTCTCTATTTGAGTTTTCTTTTACTTTTACTTTTACTCTAATATATTTGAAAAATAAAGGATTTTGTGCAAAGCAAACCCCAAACTAAATTATTTTTGCAAGAAAAACCCCCACTTCAAAAAAATGCAAATCAAACCACTCACCTCAAAAGTCACCATCAATATAGCTCATGCATATATTGATGACGTGACATTCTTTAAAAAAAAGGTTTTGTGCAAAAAAAATCTCAAACTAAATTATTTTGCAAGAAAAACCTTCCAACAATTTATAAGAATTCTTAAAAATTATAAGAAATCTTTGTTATTGGTTTTTGAATTTTAATAATTTTATCAAAATATGTTGTTATTGGTTTAGTGATTTTTAAAATCCATACAAAATCAGTTGTTATTTAAAAGGTTTGTGTTTTAATGATTTCATGAATCCAATAAAATCCTTATTATTGAGACATAGATTTTAAACAATTTAACTCATGGAACAAGATTTTCAAAATGCTACCTATAACCTGTGTTCTAAAACTTGTTAGGCGGTACTCGGGCGCTCCGTCTCCTTTTAGCGATTTTCTCAAAAAATTGAAAATAAATCAGAGAGTACTCGGAGATTAATTTTAATTACATTTTTATATATTTCCAACATTTTTAATTTTTTTATATATAATACATTAATATGAAAATCATATACTACATTATTACCATATAACTTTTTTTTTATATATATAATACATCAATATGAAAGTCATATACTACATTTTTAAGGTTTTATGTTGAATAAAAAGTGCTTTTGCACACTTTGGGTGAAGTGGGGCTAATTATGAATAATAATCAAACTTTAGCCCACCAGATTTTAACATTTACTTGATGATTTACTCGGTTTTTGAAAAATCGGAACGGCAACCTCCTTCTAGCGGGAGTGGATAGTGAATGTCCAGAGGTTGAAGATGAAGATAACAGTGGTGATTTATTTTCAGAGCTCATTTTCAGAAAAATGAAGATGTGCTCTTTTTTTTTTTAATATATATTTTATTAAAAATAAAATTAAAATCTTGAAAACAGTAAATAGTTATTTGAAGGTCTTGTGCAAATTGAAAACAACATGACTTTTTCAACATCACCGAAGGTTTTTTTTTGCAAACCAAAATAGTTCGAGGTTTTTTATGCCCAAGAAAATAAAGATTTCTGATAATGCTACGTTATGAGTATAAGCATAAGCTATATTGCGGGTGACTCCTGAGGTGAGTGGTTTGACTTGCATTTTTTTGAGGTTAGAGTTTTTCTTGAAAAATAATTTAGTTTGTGGTTTTTTTTGCATAAAACCCAAAAATAAAACTCAAAAGTTCATCAGTTTGAAAATATTAAAGCTTATACTCTTTATAAGTTTTGTTTTGACAACAAATGATTGCAAAGTTTTTCCCCTTTTATTAATAAAAAATGGAACTTTTTTCTTCTAGTAATCTCTATGTTCTTACCATCCAATCCAAGTCTTTGGGCATGACTGGTTTAACCGCTGCGATTGCGTTGTGAAGGTTTAGCATATGAGAGTTACGAAGGACAAATTCATGTACGCAGCTTTATTGATTTCTTCAGTTACAAAAAGAAAGCTAAATTAAATTTTTAATTTCATAAAATAAAAAATGGAGTTAGAAGAAATGGATGGCAAAATCCAAAAAGTAAAGCGAGAAGAAGTGTTAAACCCAACCATTTTCTTGACTTCATTAACCTTCAACGCCTTTTTTGGTTGTTCACCGTCGCTCTCCGCCGCGTCCCCTCTCTCTCTCTCAATCCTCCATCCTCCGATTAATATCTTTCCCAAGTAAGCTTGTTCGATCCCTCTCCTTCTTCTTCTTCATCAATCCCGATTTCACATCGTTAAGCTTTAGATTCCGATTCGAAATCTCCACTCATGCTTACGAATTGGTCACTTAGTTGTGATCGAGCTTGATCAGTGCCATATAAACCCTAATTTCCGCGATTCGTTTCCTAGATTTCAACATTCTCTGTTTCAATTGCTTCTGCATGCACTGATTAATTTAGCAATTCGTGTTAAATCTGCTTCACAGGTCTGCGTGTGTGTGAGAGAGGAGAAACCATCGCATCGCCGCCATGGAAGTCTGCAATTGCATCGAGCCGCAATGGCCGGCCGATGAATTGCTGATGAAATACCAATACATATCCGATTTCTTCATCGCCATCGCCTACTTCTCAATCCCTCTCGAGCTAATCTACTTCGTCAAGAAATCCGCCGTCTTCCCCTACCGATGGGTCCTCGTCCAGTTCGGCGCCTTCATCGTCCTCTGCGGCGCGACGCACCTCATCAACCTCTGGACATTCACCACCCACTCCCGAACCGTCGCGCTCGTCATGACCACCGCCAAAGTCCTAACCGCGGTGGTCTCCTGCGCCACGGCGCTGATGCTCGTCCACATCATCCCGGACCTGCTCAGCGTCAAGACTCGCGAACTCTTCTTGAAAAACAAAGCCGCAGAGCTCGACCGAGAAATGGGACTGATCCGGACTCAGGAGGAGACCGGACGTCACGTGAGAATGCTGACGCACGAGATCCGAAGCACGCTCGATCGCCACACGATCTTGAAGACGACGCTGGTCGAGCTCGGGAGGACGTTGGCGTTGGAGGAGTGTGCGTTGTGGATGCCGACTAGGACCGGTTTGGAGCTGCAGCTTTCGTATACGCTTCGTCAGCAGCATCCGGTTGAGTATACGGTTCCGATTCAGTTGCCGGTGATTAGTCAAGTGTTTGGTACTAGTAGAGCTGTGAAGATATCTCCTAATTCTCCTGTGGCTAGGTTGAGACCTGTCTCCGGGAAGTATATGCTTGGGGAGGTGGTTGCGGTTAGGGTTCCGCTTCTCCACCTTTCGAATTTCCAGATTAACGACTGGCCTGAGCTTTCGACGAAAAGATACGCTTTGATGGTTCTGATGCTTCCTTCGGATAGTGCTAGGCAATGGCATGTTCATGAGTTGGAGCTCGTTGAAGTCGTCGCTGATCAGGTTTGCTTATTTGATAATGATTCTTGATTCTTTCACTTATCTTGATCTTGAATCAAGAATTATCTCTTTTGCTATGTTTGTTCTTGATCTTGATTCTTGAATCTGTTGGGGGGTTTGCTCGTGTTTGGAGCTTTTAACATTTGCTGATTGATCATTATCTCTTTTGCTATGTTCTTGGTTCTTGATTCTTGATTCTTTCACTTGATCTTGATGCTATGCGAAAGAATCAAGAACTATCTCTTTTGCTATGTTCTTATTCTTGAAACTGTTTGGGATGTGTTCGTGTGGGGTGTTTTTAACATTTGCTGATTGATAAGTATCTCCTTTGCTACGTTCTTGATTCTTGAATCTGTTGGGGATTTGCTCGTCTGGGGAGTTTTTTAATATTTGCTGATTGATAATTATCTCTCTTGCTATGTTTTTGATTCTTGAATTTGTTGGGGATTTGCTCGTGTGAGGAGTTTTTAACATTTGCTGATTGATAATTATCTCCTTCTTTGCTATGTTCTCGATTCTTTTCACTTTTACCTAAACTGCTGATCAGGTTTGCTGATTTATAATATCTCTTTTGCTATGTTCTTGATTCTTGATTCTTGATTCTTTCACTTTATCTTGATCTTAAATCAAGAATTATCTCTTTTGCTATGTTCTTGATTCTTGAATCTATTGGGGATTTGCTCGTTTAACATTTTCTGATTGATAATTTATATAAGTTCTTGATTGTTTTCACTTTTATATTGTTTGGTTCTTCTCTTAGGTGGCTGTGGCGCTCTCACATGCTGCGATCTTGGAAGAGTCGATGCGAGCTAGGGACCTTCTCATGGAGCAGAACGTGGCTCTTGATCTCGCGAGACGGGAAGCGGAGACAGCGATCCGTGCACGGAACGATTTCTTGGCGGTTATGAACCACGAGATGCGGACGCCGATGCACGCGATCATCGCGCTCTCTTCTTTACTCCAAGAAACGGAACTAACACCTGAACAGAGATTGATGGTGGAGACGATACTTAAAAGCAGTAACCTTTTAGCGACTCTGATGAACGATGTCTTAGATCTTTCAAGATTAGAAGACGGAAGTCTTCAACTTGATCTCGGAACATTCAATCTCCATAGTTTATTTAGAGAGGTACACAACAACAACATTTTCTTTCCTCTTGCATGATTGCATGACATTGTTTTGTATATTTATGAATTTGAATCTTGTTGTTGCAGGTTCTGAATCTGATAAAGCCTATCGCCGTTGTAAAGAAACTACCCATCACGTTGAATCTTGCACCGGATCTGCCGGAGTTTGTCGTTGGAGATGAGAAACGGCTGATGCAGATAATACTGAATATAGTTGGTAATGCTGTGAAGTTCTCAAAGCAAGGTAGTATATCCGTAACAGCTCTTGTATACAAGTCAGACACTCGAGCTCCTGACTTCTTTGTGGAACCAACTGGGAGTCATTTCTACTTGAGAGTGAAGGTTAGTAGTTTCTTGGAACCCTTTAAACCATTAGCTGAATAGTTTTTGACGATTGTTTCAACTATAGGTTAAAGACTTGGGAGCAGGAATTAATCCACAAGACATTCCCAAGCTTTTCACTAAATTTGCTCAAACACAATCTTTAGCGACCAGAAGCTCAGGAGGTAGTGGGCTAGGTCTCGCCATCTCCAAGAGGTTAAGCACGTTTTGGAATCGTTTAGTTTCGTTCTTGTTTCTCTTTACCTTCTGGTTCTTGATGAAAGTTTGCATTTTTGATGTGTCAAGGTTTGTGAATCTGATGGAGGGTAACATTTGGATTGAGAGCGACGGTCTTGGTAAAGGATGCACCGCTATCTTCGACGTTAAACTCGGGATTTCGAACGAGTCGAAACAGTCGGGCGTACCGAAAGATCCCGCTAATAACCGGCATGCGAATTTCGATGGGCTTAAGGTTCTTGTCATGGATGAAAATGGGTTAGTATTAGCCTTGATTGCTTGCTTCTACGTTTACATGATACAGTGACTCTGCGTTTGCGTCTACTCTTTGCTAAAAAAGGGTTTGTTTCACATGGAAACGCAAACAGAATCGCGTTTTAAAAAATCGCTTATTGTAAACCGCTGATTTTTGTTGGTTGCAGGGTAAGTAGAATGGTGACGAAGGGGCTTCTTGTACACATTGGATGCGAAGTGAGTACGGCGAGTACTAGCGAAGAGTGTCTACGAGCTGTGTCACATGAGCACAAAGTGGTCTTCATGGACGTATGTATGCCTGGGGTCGAGAACTACCAGATCGCTCTCCGTATACACGAGAAATTCACGAAACAACGACACCAGAGACCGCTGCTCGTGGCACTCACCGGTAACACTGACAAATCCACAAAGGACAAGTGCATGAGCTTCGGTCTAGACGGCGTTTTGCTCAAACCTGTGTCTTTAGACAACATGAGAAACGTTCTCTCTGATCTTCTTGAACACAGGGTACTCTACGAAGCGATGTAACGGAGGAGTAATTCCGCGCACTCTCTCTCTCTCCCGGCTCGCTCCCGGAAACTGATGTTTCTCTGGTTGAATCTGTACATATCAGAGGTTTGTGGGAGCGTTTTTGGATGGTATCATGAAATAGAAAGGGAATAACGAAACAGAAAGTGTAGACCGCGGTCTGTGTCGTTGGCGATTCCGGTTCACAGAGGAGCAAAGCAAAATGTAGACAGCAATATAGACCATTTTTATATTTACATGTCTGACCGGTGTTGTTGTATCGTTACATATGATATAAATAGTTACATTCTTATATTTAAGAAAATTGGATTGAGTAAATGGGGGCACTTGTTGAGTGCATGTTGTAAACTTGTAATGTAAGGTACTGTTGCCGTATTGTAATGTTAAAAATATTTATGATGAAGACAGGGAAAAGAATGACAATAGACAATAATAAGTTGAGATTTGCATAACACCATAATTTTCTTCACGCATCCTAATATATTATACTAGGGATTGAAATCTCGCGCAAGCGCAGAGTTATTTGCGATAGTTTTCCTATTTGATCAATTTGTTGTTTTCAATTATAATAACTTTCTGTTGAAAATGTATTGTTTATCTTTTCAGTTAATCCAACCACTTACAATAGGATATATTCAATTTTCTTTTATTTTATTTTGAATTTAAAGATGTTAACTCCATATTTCATCTCAAACTTTCTATTTTCTGAAACTTATTATTGCTTTTAAATGTTATATTTCTTCATTTTTTGGGTTATTTACAATAAATTGGTCTTTATAAAATAAGTTTTCTTTTTTTTTTTAATCTATAGTGTTATTTATTTTCATCTTTGTACTCATTTTACATACTTTCATCTTACAAAAATATTTATATACTGTTAACTCTCAAATGATGCAAATCAATGAAATTACATTAAACATTTTAAATAGGGCAAATAAAAGTACATGTTTGGTAACAACTATATGATCTTTTCATGAGTAATAGTAATGCAATTTATCTAATTAAATTAAAATTTAAAAGCCAGTCAAAAAAAAGAATTTAAAATTTAACAAATACTATTCTGCTATTTATTTAGTTAGATTTTTGTATTTGATATTTTATTTATGGTCACAGATTTTATATTTGATTGAAATTGCAAATTTATATCTTAAATCAAAGTAAAAATTAATATAAATTGATATGTATTAAAGGAGTATTTTAATTATAATTTAATGTTAAAATTGATGATGTGGACACCCTAGATGGAGAGAAAACTCTCTAATTATATATAAGATTTACACCATATCAAATCAATGAAATAATCAATACAACAAAAATACAATGTTTCTTTGTATGAGTAATAATGTCAGCTTTTTTATGCTTTTAGATGATAACACATCACTAAGGAAAAACACCAACATTTTAATTAATACACATCAGTTTTTTAATTGTCTAAAGTAAACTACAATGTAGTTACTGACGAAGATCAAAATCAAAGATGGGTTGTTTACCTTTGTCATAGATTATTGAATACCACTAGACTAATGCGTGCGGGTTGATCTATTGTTATAGTTTTAAAAATTCTCGAAAAAAAATTAGATTTGTGATTAATATTATAAACTATAATCAAAATAACATATGCATTTTAATTCTAACTTGTTTGGTTAGTGACGGGCTTTCAAATATTTTTTTTTGCATCATACCACATGGCTATGTACCCTCAACTCTCTTTATTTCCTCACCGCCACATAGAACGGATTCTGATTTCCCGCCATTGTTTTTTGCTAGATCCATTTCTTTGTATATTAGGAGAATTTATATGTTTAATAATAACTCAATACGGAAGCCCAAAGGTAATAATCTTGGATTAATAGAGATTTGTTTTCATTATCACAAGTTGAAATATTTACCAACTAAATAAGATCTAGAGTTATTAATTGGAAAGAAGAGGAAAAGTCATGTTACATGTTAATCAATGGAGAGTTGATGCAATGTGGAAGGTGAAACAGTTGACGGTTTTGAAAAACTTGTGTGTAATGACTGCAACGACTAAGAATGCGAAGAGACTACTCTCTTTATTTTTTTTGCCATGTGTTAATTCATTGAGTGTTCAAGTGTCAATCATATGGAGAGGGTTGACCTCAATTCATATACTCCCTCTGTTTCACATTAGTTGATGTTTTAGAATTTTCACAAGTATTAAGAAAAATTTATTATTCACTTTTTGAACTTACTTTCTGATTTTTATTTGATTTTAATTGTGTTCATAAATACTCCACTTTCCACTTTTCATTCCTATTTAATGAATAAATACTTCATTTTCCACTTTTCCAACGAAAATGAGTACATTAGTCAAGTGCATTTAATGCAGCTTAGAACATCAAATAATAAGGAATATCCAAAAAATCTAAAACATCAACTAAGGTGAAACAGAGAGAATATATGATTAGTAGTACTCTTTGATACCTAAAAAATAGATGTTCCATATTTTCTCAAGAATATATTAACACATACTTAATTGAAAATAGGATAACTTACAAGAACACATTCTCTTTTATACCACACATTGGTATCTCCTTATATAGGCACATTATCTCTCCTAATCCTATATGAAATATATTTAGATAACTCCTAAACATATAAAAATCCTAAACTCTTTAGAAATCCATAACCAACTAGGATTATGTTAACTTGCAGCTCAAACTTCTTTTAAGATTATTCCAACAATAAGGGCATCTCCAATGTATTGCCCCATATTTGACTCCAAAATGAAGAAATCTCAAAATGGAGTTGAGTTTTGCTCCAATGTATTGCTTCATTTTTTTGCTTCAAAAAGAATATTCTAAGTATATTCTCTTTGAAAAACTTTTATTAATTACTAAACTTACATTTTATATTTATATATATTACAAACTGTCCCATAATTATTTTTCTTCAAAACTTTCACAATTTTCTGAGAACTATAAATATTAATATATATTACAAGACTAAAAATAACAACACAAACTGGATTTTATTTTTAATTAGAACCATTTGAATATTTTCCTATAAAATGATCAACTAAACCATTTGAATACTTCTAATAAAAGTATTTTTCCTTTCTTTTTAAATTTATTATTAGCTTAAATAATTAAATTTCATATTAAATATGTGTTATTTGAATTTTAGAGTAAACAAATATCAAAATAATTAATTATATATCTTAAACTGAAATAATTTAAAACTTAAAGGACTCTTATATAAATTAAAAAGTTCAACTCCAAAATGGAACTGAAAATGGGATCATCCCAATATGGGAAAAATTATGGCATTTTGTCATTTTGAAGTTGAAAATGAGGTTGGGTTGGAGCAAATTTGACTCCAAAATGGCAATAAAGGTGAAATATGACGCTGAGTTGGAGATGCTCTAAGAACATATGATTTCTTCGTGTTAAAAGAGAATTTACTGAGAACGAAACCACAATCCCGCTCGATCACCAACATGCTCCTTCCTCCTATTTCCACACACTCACCCTTCGCCAAATGAGGTCATCTCAAGATCCCAGCTCAGCCTTCCAAGATATCATCACTTCTCAACATCTCTCGCGTGTTCTTTGGTTAAATCGATGATAAATATATGATTTTCTTACCATAGTTTGAGGATTTCAATTTCTAGATGTGTTTGAGACTCTTTTGTCTATGATTGAGCTTGTGCTACTCTGTGTTTTTTTCTTTGGCGTGGGAGAAATGGCTGGATGTTCTGACTTCTGAGACAATCATCGACCGCTTACGTTTTTGTTGTTTTTGTCTCCGAAACATTCAGAAAAGTTATCAGGTTTTTTCGGTTACATATGAAGAACAAAATAATTTAATTAAATAACAGTTTGCACTTTATTAATTTAGATTTTATTATTAAAATGTTAAGTTTAAAGATAATACATGTAAATGCTAAATTCCACAAGAGTTTCCTCCCGGACCACCATAGTTAAAATAGTATCCTAATTTGCTATATTGGAATAAAAAATTTGTACCAATTCTTAATCCATAACATTTGCTACTATCTTGCAGCTTTTCTATAGGAAAAGAGCTGATTTTGCGTTGTTCATAGTTAGAATTCAAAATGTCGATATTTGTAAAAAGTGCTGATTCTTTGAGATGTTTATTCAGAAATGTAGTACGCGGAAATTTACTATTACCCATCGGTGGACTTGAACCAGAATGTGAAGCCTGAACGACACCTCCAACTCCAACCAAATTTGCACCGTTATCTAGAAGATTAAATAACTCTCTAGGCCAATAGCCTATATCAATGCTAGGTCTTTTTGAGTACAGTATTCTAAGCCACCAGTTTTTTGTATTCATATCCTTTTTGCATAAATTGAGAAACAAGAAAAATATATTTTTGTTAATAAAAATAACATATATATATATACATATATGTATGTATCAAGCATTATAGTCATATATATCAAGCATTAATTAATAAAAATTAGGAAAAAACCTGACGGATGTAGTAACGAAACCAGGCGGGTTGTCCTGGCTTAAGGTTAATGGGTTCGACTAAGGGAAGTTGGTGTGACACTTGAACAAAACTCTGGGCATGCCGTATTTTAACATCCTTTTCCGTCTTTACCCTATCAAATTAGATTTAATATTAATGGACTTCAGCACAAATATTCATTAGAAAATAAAAGAGTTCATCATAAGTAAAATTATTAGCATGTACACATACCCTCGAAAATCCATATGACCAAACACGTCCATCGCCAAATACACCTGGGTTTATCTGGTAAACAAATTGTAGTACTTTAAGACTAAATTATCCACATGCTTAAATATGAGAATGGACTAAGAGAATAAGATTGAAATGTAATACATACCATTGAACCCACTGAAATAAAATTGATCTGATTATTCAATCCACTGCCTATATACATTTGGCTATATGAGGCTTGCTCTTTTCCGACGTTTAAGTTATATGCATTGGACCAAGCTTGTACACCATGAAATGGACCATTACGTGACCTTACACCAACAATCTG